CAAAGAACAATGGCTGAAAACTTCCCAAATTTGGCAAAAGATATAAACCTATGGATTCAAGAAGCTGAGTGAACCCTAAGCAGCATATTTTCGTGTGTTTATTGGCCATTTGTATATCTTCTTTGGTGAAATGCCTATTCAAATATTTTGCCCATTTTTTAATTGTCATTATTGAGTTGTACGAGTTCTTTATATATTCTGGATACAAGTTTCTTATCTGATATATGATTTGCAAATATTTCCTCCCATTCTGTTGCTTGTCTTTTCACTTTCTTGAGGTGCCATTTGGAGCACAAAAATTTTTAATTCTGACGAAGTCTAATTTATCAATATTTTATTTTGTTGCTTGTGCATTTGGTGTCGTATGTAAGAAATCATTGTCTAACTCAAGATCATGATATTTACTCTTAGGTTTTCCTCCAATAGTTTTACAGTTTTAGCTCTAACATTTAGGTCTATGATTGACTGGGGTTAATGTTTGAGTTAATTTTTATGTAAGGTGTGAGGTAAGGGTCTAAATTCCTTCTTTTGTTTGTGGAGAACCAATTGTCCCAGTACCATTTGTTGAAAAGACTTATCTTTCTCCCCTTGAATTGCCTTGGCACCTTTGTTAAAAAATCAGTTGACCATAAATCAATCTTATTGCATTGATGTATATGTCTATCCTTATGCCAATACCACACTGTCTTGATTATCATAGCTTTGCAGCAACTTTTGAAATTGGGAAGTATGAATCTTCCACTTTATTCTTCTTCAGAATTGTTTTGGCTATTCTGGGTCCTTAGCATTTCCATATGAATTTTGAGACGCCTTTTGAAATGAGGGAGCAAGCCATGCAGATGGCTGGGGAGGAAGAGGTCTAGGTAGTGGGACGAGCAAACGCAATGGCCCTAAGAAGTGAAAGTGCCTGTTTAAAGCACAGTGAGGAGGCCAGTGTGGCACAATAGAGAGAAGAAGTAATAGGAGATGGGGTTAGAGAGGTGAACAGGGCAGAGGAGGGAGGGGCAGATGTGTGGGGCCTTGTAGGCCCTGTAAGAAATTTAGCTTTACTCTGAGTCAGTGGAGAAATGATTGGAGAGTTTTGAGCAGAGGAGTGACGTGGTCTAACTCATATTTTAACAGACTCACTGTGGACACTATGTGGTGAAATTGCTGAGGGGAGTAAGGACAGCAGCAGGGAGGCAAGCTAGGCGATGCAAGAGATGATGGTGGCTTGGACTAGGGAATTAACAGTGGGGATGAGAAAAGATGAGATGTGGTCAGATTCTGGCTATATTTTGAAGGTAGAGCCAAGCAGATTTAAGACAGATTGGATGTAGAATATGAGAAAAAGTGAGGAGTCAGCAATGTCCCCAAAGATTGGAGCCTGAACAACTGAAGAATAGAATTGCAAAGCCCAATACTTTCAGGAGGGAGGAAGAGGTTTGGAGGGGAAGATCAAATCAGTTCTGGACGTGTTGAGTTTCAGGTATTCATTAGACACTGGAAGTACAAGTTTGCAGTTCTAAGATCTAGAAACACAAATTTGGGAGTCATCAGCACAAAGATAGTCTCCATAGGTAACATTTAAATCTGGTGGGAACCATAAGACTGGATGAGATCACCTATCAACAGATAAAAAATGGAAGTGGTCCAGGGATTGAGCCATGGACACTGCAGTGGTAAGAAGTTGGAGAGATGAGGAGTAACCAGCAGGGAAGCACTATATATTCACAAATAATCTCTCAGGGTGGGTCATTCTTGTGTATTTCTACATCTACCATGGACTATTACCTTCTTTGTGTTTGGTCACATCATCAGGGCCCAGCTCAGAGAGGGATCTTCTTAAGGTCAAAAGTCTCCATGACTAAAGTGTAAATGATTGACAGGTTTATCTTTCTCAGGAGATATAAAATGAAAGAAAAGTCAGTTGAGTAAACCAAACCTCTATTTGATGGGATGTTGCAAGGAAAGAGGTCATTTTACACCAGAGAAAACTTTTTGTGTCCCTAGCATCTGCAGCTCACTATAGTGATGATGGTACTACCCTCATCAGTATTAACCATTGGGAAGCCACTGGGAAAGAGAATCAAGCTCTTGGGAAAGAGAATCAAGCTCTTGGGGAAGCATCAGCACTCTTTTGGGCTGTAAGGTCCTAGAGGCCAGGGAATGCATGGGGCCCAAGCACAACTCATAATGCCTGAGCAGGTGCACACTGCCTTCTGTTAGGCAGGGAGAAGGCAAGAAGCGGGCTGTGTACCTTCCTGACACTGTCTTTAAACTTAGCTTCTGCCCCACCGCACTCCTGGTTCCCCTTCCACCCAACCACTCCTTTTCTGTCTCTATTACCATTTCCTCTTCTTTCTCTCAAGTTCTAGCCTAATGACCCAGCCTCCTTTTCCACAAAAAGTGTGAGGTCAAGAACATGGCAGAAATGGAGAGTTTAGTTCTTTCCACTCAGGTCTTCGTGGTTCCACGAGCAGCCTGGTATCTCTTTCTATTTTCCTTTCACTTCTCATCCCCCCACCCAGTTAGCAAACCAGAGAGTGCAAAAGCAGGAACTTTTCACACTAGGTCTCTTCTGCCCAGATCTCTACACCCACAGCTGTCTCCTCAGCTAAGAAAGGTGATAGGAAAATGACAATGACACCAATAGGACAATGGGACAGAATCATGGACAGGCAATTCATGATAGAAGAAACATGAATAGCCATTCAACAGATGAAAATAATGTTAACCCTACAACAAAACGCAATTTAAAACAACAATGAGATACCATTTTACCTATCAAGGAGGCAAGGATTCTAATTCCCAGGATTGACGAGAGTAAAGGCATGCGCAGACACTACTGCCAGGAGTGTAAAGTCCTGCACTGCTCTCTGAAGAATGACTTGGCAACACTAAGGTGCCGAAAGCTTTAAGAATAAGTCTATCCTTTGACTCTTTGATTCAGTGGTTTCTCTTCTAAAAATTTAGCCTGAGGAAATAATTAGAACCATGTAAATATGTATGTTCGAGAATATTCATTGCAGCATAGTTGATCATATTTTTAAAGATTGAGATCCACCTAAATGCCCTACAATAGGAAATTGGTTTCAATTAACTGGGGTTCACCATACAGTGGAATACTAGTCAACCATGAAGAATGATGTTGCCTCATGTGTCTCCTGCTATGATGCATTGAGAAGGACAGAACATCACGTCTCTGGTATTCCTGGCCAAAAATGCATAAACTGAAGAAACATCAGACCTACCTAAATTTAGGATAGTCTACAAAAGAACTGACCCGTATTCTTCAAAAATGTCAATATAATGAAAGACAAAGTAAGTCTAAGGAGCTTATTAAAGGAAACTGAAAACATGACAACTAAATGCAATGTGTGATCCTGGATTAGATCCTAGACCAAGAAAAAAAAATCATTATAAAGGACATTATGAGGCAATTGGCAAATTTTGAATATAGACTGTAGATTAGGTAATAGTATTGTATCAATCTAAGTTTCCTGATTTTGATAGTTGTACTGTGGTTATGTAAAAGAATGTTCTTGGGGCCAGCCCCGTGGCATAGTGGTTTCAGTTCAGCCCACTCTGCTTCAGCGGCCTGAGGTTGGCAGGGTTCAGATCCCAGGCATGGACCTACACCATTCATCAGCCATGCTGAGGCAGATCAAGTGGAGGAAGATTGGCACAGATGTTAGCTCAGGGCTAATCTTCCTCAAGCAACAAAAAAAAGAGGAAGATTGGCAACAGATGTTAGCTCAGGGCTAATCTTCCTCAGCAAAAAAAAAAAAAGTTCTTGTTCTCAAGAAATTCACACTGATATGTTTACCAATAAAGGGACGTCTTATGTGCAATTTACTCTCAAATGGTTCAGAAAAAAATACGAATGTGTATTTAGAGAAATAATGATGAAGCAAATGTGGTCAAATGATATCAATTGGTGAATCGGAGTGAAGAGTATCCTGGGATTATTTTTAGTGTTCTTGCCCCTTTTCTGTGAGTCTAAAATTATTTCGAAATAAAAAGTTTAAAAATAAAAATAAAATACAAAAAAGAATGGTGCTGGCAAAGTATATTTGTCGGCAGGGGAAGGTGCTCAGGTTACACCAGGCTGTGGCTGTGGGTGCGTCAATGCTGGGGCTGTGCACAGCTGCTGCTGACACCTCCAGCCACCCTGGACTCTCAGTTGTCTGTGCTACTAGAGGAACTCAGTGTGAGGCTGACCCCAGAGCTGTCCTGGCTTCACTCAAGAAGGTAGGATGAGTCAGGGCAATGAATTCTCTTTTGTGATTTTATTTACTCCAGTTTTGAATTCAATGACTGGCATTCCTTGCATCTCAGGGACCTCTGCGGTGGAGGGAGGGAGACATGCGGGGAGGACAACCTACCCAAATGCAGTGTTTGCTACAGATCATCCAGACTGCAAAGTTCAGTGTAGACAATGTTCATTTATCATTGATGATGATCATATACATTCCCCTCAGAGAGAAGGCCAAGATTTCCCCCAAAACCAGCCCAGCGTCTTACCCATTCCCTAAAAGGAGAAAACTAAGTCCCCAGCAAGGGCCAAGGCAAAGCCTAGAAGTCCCCTGGGTTCCCTCTGCCAAGATCAGTGGTTTCAATTTAGGGAAAGTTGCAGATTCTCTAAGAAGCGTCTGTACTGACCTCACAAAACAAGCATCCTCTCCTGGGAAGAGGAATAGGAAGTCTCTCGTCACCCCACACCTCTGTTTCCAGGTCCTGACCCTCCTGGGGTATGGGGCAGCCAACTTGCAATTCCCTTGTCTAGAAAGGAGAGACCACATCAACAAGCAGAAGGGCTGAGACTGTCCCCAGAGCCCCCACCAGCCCAGTTCTCCCCTCCTATCACCTGCCCTCCAGCCACACTGTGCTACTTCCCCCCCCACCTCCCCAGGGGTTGTCAGGGACAGAAAGCCCCTCCCTCATCCCCCTCAATGTTCCTCCACTCCTCCCCCCATTACTAGGGTGTCCAGGACATTGTGTGACTCAGGAAACAGCTCAGACGTGAGGCTTGCAGCAGGCCGAGGAGGAGGAAGAAGGGGCCGTGGGAGCAGAGAAGGAGGCTCCTGCCTCAGTGAGGGCTCTGAGGGTCCCTGCATGAGGAGGCAGAGGAGATCTGGGCTAGGGGCAGGGGCTCGGGAATGCAGCCCCCTTCACTGCTGCTGCTGCTTCTGTTGCTGTGTTGCTCAGTCGCCAAGGCAAGAGGTGAGGCATGGGGTGGGAGAGGTGGGGAGACCCAACTTCCCTAGGAGGATGTCCAGTGGTTTGGGGGCAGAGGGCCAAGTTCCATGCTTTGAGGCAACACTGGATGGAGGAGATTCTCATCCCCCAAATGGAGACAGCCTGCAGGAAGAGACGGCTCTGCTGCTGGAGTTGCACAAACCAAGGTTTTGGGCCTGGTGCCAGGGGTGGTGACTGTTGGGGGGATGGGCGAGAGGGTGCCCACCTCCAGGGAGAACCCAGTGGGCCTGGAGCTGGGGGACAGCAGGCTCTTGCAATCACGTTTAGGAGGGGAAGAGGAAAAAGACTGACCACCTGCTAGGGGAAGAGGTGAGAGGGGAGCAGGAAATGGAGACAAGGGAAGGTCAACAGCCCACCAAGTCCCTTTCCTGGTCCAGCTGTCCCTACCCCCCGGACGGCTCAATGCTGGGCCCTTCCGAGAGGAAATCCCTTCAATTTCTCAGCCAGTCAACTCCCAGGAGTCCCCTCAGCCCCCCTCCTAATCCTTGTTGTCTTGCTTCCGAGGGATGGAGCCTGAGGCTGGACTTGGGAGGCCAGAGAATAAACAGGAAAGAGGGGTGGGGATCAGTAACTGAGAGGCCTGGGATCTAGGGCCTGGGGTGTGAGCGCCACGTGGGGACTAGGAAGAAGGGTGTGGAGCGATGGTGGTTTGGAGCACGTGTGTGGGGCTGCTGCAAGCAGGTCCCTCCAGAGCACCCAGAGGAGTGAAGGTGGAGCACAATGTTCCCTGCTCCCATCTCATCCCCACCTCCACCCCTAGGGCTGCAGTGTGGGAGTTTCCCAGAACCCTGTGCCAACGGAGGCACCTGCCTGAGCCTATTTCAGGGGCAAGGGACCTGCCAGTGAGTGTGCCTCATGGGAGTAGGAGACTGGAGAGAAAGGGGGAGGGAGGCCAGGGGAGGAAATGGGAAGAAAGGAAAAAGGGAGGAGGTGGCAAAGATGAAGGGAAACAAATGAAGGCAAAGGAGGGAGGTGGGAGAAAAGGCGAAGTGGAGCCAGTGATGTGAGTTTTCCTCTCTCCTCCCCTGCCCAGGTGTGCGCCTGGCTTCCTGGGTGAGACATGCGAGTTTCCCGACCCCTGCCAGGATGCTCAGCTCTGCCAGAATGGGGGCAGCTGCAAAGCCCTGCTTCCCACCCTCCCAGGCTCCCCCAGCGCTCCCTCTCCCTCGGCCCCCAGCTTCTTCTGCACCTGCCCCTTTGGCTTCACTGGCGAGAGGTGCCAGGCCCAGCTCAAGGACCCCTGTTCTTCCTTCTGTTCCAAAATGGGCCGCTGCCACATCCAGGCCTCAGGCCGCCCACAGTGCTTCTGCCAGCCTGGGTGGACAGGTGAGCACTGAAGGGGTGAGGAGGAGGGGACAGGCAGGAGCAATACGCTGGGCTGTGGGTTAGGAAAGATGAAACTGGAGCCTGTGAGACTGAGACCCTTTGAGGACAGAAGCCATGAGAATCAAGAAGCTGATCCTTGGCGACCCATCTACCCAGGACTGACGTTCACCAGCATGGTTGTACTCATTGTTAAAATGTTAGAGTATTTCCAAACCAGTTGGTAAATTGCTACTGCCATAGCCTCCTTAGTATACTGCCCTGACCCCTTTCCCAGCCCCTCAAACTCCTTGCCACCCAGTAGCTAGGGAGTTAATGCCTGGCACACCAGGGGTCTCTACATTCTGAGCATCTGAATGGCCTCTGTTTTGAGTGCTAGGAGCCCATAATATCACCTGGGAAGACTGCGGTGCTGGCAGATGTGATGAGGGGAGGGATCTGACCCAAAGAGAAGAAAGGGTGCCCATCTCAGGAGGAGGGGTTCAGCCCTGGGACAAGAGATCAGGACATGTGATGGGCAGGGCATGCTACCCTGAGGAAGCGGTCAGGGATGCAGTGAGGCCCTGGAGAGGAAGGCTCGATAGGACCGGACCAGGATGGAGAGGGCTGGACCAGACAGCCACATGGGTAAGAAAGTGCTTGGAATGTGGGTGCCTCTGTGAGGCTTCTCAAACTTGCCTAGGCACAGCCATCACCTGGAAAGCCTTAAAAATACTGGTGCCTCCATCTCAGAGACTCTGATTTAGTGGGTCTGGGGTGGGCTAAGGACATGGAGACTTTTTTAACTGCCAGGTAATTCTGAGGTAACCAGGCCTGAGACTGCGTGTGAGAGAGTGTGTGTGACAAGAAGAAGGATGGGCAATGGCAACTTTCCAGGCCTTGTGCTTCAGAGTAGGGGCCCTGGGGCAGCCTCCTCCCTGACTCCAGTGCCAGCTCTGCCACTGACTAGACATGTGACCTTGCATAACATATTTAAGCTCTCTGGGTCCCCGGTTGTCAGTTGACATCCACACTTCATACGGCTGTTGAGAGGAGGGCAGGGAGTGATGCTCAGGAAGTGCTCACTTAGCTCAGTCCCTGACACACAGCTTGTGTGTAGCGAATGGTGGCGGCGCCCCTCGCCACCGCTACTGCCCTTCCTACTAGTGCCTTTCCCACTGGTGCACACGGTGGTCAAGTGAGTCTTCTTATCATTATCCGGACCATGACATCCACCTAAAGATCAGGAAATCAGGATGAGAGAGGCCAGACCACTGCCCAAGGGCACACAACCAGTTGTGGCACAGCAAGATGCTAACTAAGTCTCCCGCCTACAGAGATCGGATGCTTTTCACCCCCCACCAAGGTCACCACAGAAGGGACCCTGTGTCCCAGATTTTTCCAGGCAGGGCCCATTTGCAGTACTCCCACCAACAGCTACATGTCCTATTTTCAGTTTGGAAAATATGGTTACTCCAGATATAACCCTCCCAAGGAATGGTGAAACTGAGGTAGGGGTGATGGAGCAGGGTAAAGGGGGTATGAGAGGAAAGGGAAGGAAATAGGAAAATTAGACACAGAGAGAATCCAGAGTGAGAGCTGGGTTATCCCAGAGGAGCTGGGATTTGTGTCGTGCTAGAAACAGCCCCCTCTGTCCTTTGCCTCAGGTGAGCAGTGCCAGCTTCGGGACTTCTGTTCAGCCAACCCCTGCACCAACGGAGGGGTATGTCTGGCCACATACCCCCAGATCCAGTGCCGCTGCCCACCTGGCTTCGAGGGCCATACCTGTGAACATGATGTCAATGAGTGTTTCCTGGACCCGGGACCCTGCCCCAAGGGCACCTCCTGCCATAACACCCTGGGATCCTTCCAGTGCCTCTGCCCCGCTGGACGGGAGGGTCCACGCTGTGAGCTCCAGCCAGGACCCTGCCCCGCCAGGGGCTGTCTCAATGGGGGCACCTGCCAGCTGGTTCCAGGAAGAGACTCCACCTTCCACCTCTGCCTCTGCCCCACAGGTATGTCCTCACAGGGGACCTGCCTTCCTGCAGCCTCTCTCTCTGGGCAGGAAGGTTGCCACCCTTGGGTCCCCCTCCCCCAGCTGATCCCATGATCCTGTCAGGTTTCACAGGCCCAGGCTGTGAGGTGAATCCAGATGACTGTGTCGGGCACCAATGTCAGAATGGGGGCACTTGCCAGGATGGGCTGGCCACGTACACCTGCCTCTGCCCAGAGGCCTGGACAGGTGAGTTGTTTAAGCCAAGTCCATGGCACCAGTGGCCCAGATGGTCAGCCCCTGGCCTCTTCTCCTCAAAGGGCTCCCAGCTTCAGCCCTTGTCCCCTTCCCATCCCCCTGCAGGCTCAGATTGCTCTGAAGATGTGGATGAATGTGAGTTTCAGGGTCCCCCTCGCTGCAGAAACGGGGGTACCTGCCAGAACTCAGCTGGCAGCTTCCATTGTGTGTGTGTGAGCGGCTGGGGAGGCACAGGCTGCGAGGAGAACCTGGACGACTGTGTTGCTGCCACCTGTGCCCCAGGATCCACCTGCATTGATCGTGTGGGCTCCTTCTCCTGCCTCTGCCCACCTGGCCGCACAGGTGTGAGGCAGAGGGTATGGGGAGGAGGGAAGTGGGAGGTGGAGATGGCGAGTGAAAGAAGCACCAGGAGGGCAGCTGGGAGCTTCAAGTGGCCTCTGAGAGCTTCACCCACATCCTGCCCTCCAGGCCTCCTGTGCCACATGGAGGACATGTGTCTGAGCCAGCCGTGCCACGGGGAAGCCCAGTGCAGTACCAATCCCCTGACGGGCTCCACACTCTGCCTGTGTCAGCCTGGATACTCAGGGCCCACCTGCCACCAGGACCTGGACGAGTGTCAGATGGGTGAGGCACCCCCACATCAAATCCTTTCTGAGTCCCCAGACAGCCTCTGCTCTGAAGAGAGAAATGTGCAAATGCTTTTTCAAATTAAAAATACAAACATCCCTTTTTCCTGAATTTGCCCCAATTTGGCATCTCTTCCCTACGTGGCCTTCTTACCAATGCTCAGCCCTCCAGGCCCCATTTAGTTCTTCTCCATCTTAAAGACACAAGCCCTCTCCCCAGTTTGGTCTCATCTGCCACAAACAGGCCCCCACGCCTTCCCTGGCAGCCTGGCCTCCTTGCCCTTCCACCCTTGACCCTGGTGGACTCCAGGTTCTTCTCTCCTCCCAGCCCAGCAAGGTCCCAGTCCCTGTGAACATGGCGGCTCCTGCCTCAACACACCCGGCTCCTTTGACTGCCTCTGTCCCCCTGGCTACACGGGCTCCCGCTGCGAGACCAATCACAATGAGTGCCTGTCCCAGCCCTGCCACCCCGGCAGCACCTGCCTGGACCTGCTCGCCACCTTCCACTGCCTCTGCCCACCAGGTACCAGCTGGATGGGGCCTTGGATAAAGGAGACAAGGGACCAATCCTGAACCCACTGGCCATGACCCCTCCAGAGCATAGATAGCCTCAGGCCAGTTAGAGTCATTTACGAAAAAATGCTTCTCCTCCTCTCCCCAGCCCCAGATGAAAATTCTGGGAAACACATGGCCCATAGGAGAAGAGCTGCCAGAGATGGTAGTGAGATGGTATGCTCTGCTCAAGTCTGGAGTGAGGGGGAAGCATTCATGTCACAGTCATCGTGGAGTGTACAACCTGGTCCACTGCACACAGAGGCCCATCAAGGGAGAGCAGAAGAGCAGTTATAAACTTTTAATGCTGCAGCCTCTGCTCATGCTAACCCAGAATGCTCCTCTTAATCATGGAAACTCTCCCCTATAGAGATCGAGAATAAACCCTTAAAATCCCAAAGGGTCTGTGTGCTTGAATTTGGTGCAACAGGAAAGAATGCTGCAAGGCTGCACCCACCTCCAGTTCTAAGGGGAAAATGTCTCCCCAGGGAGACAGTGACAAGGCCAATATTGGGGAGCTAAATGAAACTAGAAAAATAATAGCTTACATTGTGCCAGGTACTGTCGGAGCATCTTACATGCATGATCGAATCTCTACAATAACTCTATGAGGTCAGCATTGTTACTATGCCTATTTTATAAATGAAGAAACTGAGGCACACAGACAGGTTAAGTGACTTATTCAAGGTCACCTAGCTAGTAACTGGCAGAACCAGGATTCAAACCCAGGGCCTCAATAGTGTTAACCACTACACACACCACCTTCTAAGCTTAGCAGCATCCAAAGGAAAATGCTGGGAAAACCGTCCAGTAATCCAAGGGACAAGGCTGTGAATATCAAGGAGCTTCAGAGGCAGCCTCCCTAGGCAAGAAGAGGGAGGCAGCAGAAGTCCAGAGGCTGATCCAGCTTCAGTTCAGGGTGAGACAGTGGAGACCAGGATGAGCTCGAAGAAACAGGGCAAACACGGGAGCCACACAGCTTCCCAAATACCCTTCATATCCCTCCCTTGGTCTCCCTGGCACAGAGGCCTGCCCAGTTAGAACAAGAGTGAATTACCTCCAAGCAGATGCCCACTTGTCTCATTTGTACATTGAGGACCTCCAGGCTGATCAGCCTGCCTGGGTGAGGCCTGCCTTCTGTGCACAGAGGAATGGCCCCAAAAGGCACTTCCTTGCTGCCCTCCCATGGGCCCCAGCAGGCGCCCTGCTTCCTGAGCTTTCCCACCTGAAGGGGGCAGAGCCACACACAGCAGAGCAGCAGGGCCTCAGGGTTCATCTCTCCAACTCAAGTGGAGACAGCACCTGGGGAGACACTGCCTGATGGAGGCAAACAGCAGGCTGGAGGCAGGGCTAGCTCTAGAACCTGGGGCTCCTGGGCAGAAGAGCAAGCAGCCAAGGCAGGGCTGGCCTGGCTGAGCCTCACCTCCACCACACCTCCATGTCCTCAGGCTTAGAAGGGCAGCTCTGTGAGGTGGAGATCAACGAGTGTGCCTCAGCTCCTTGCCTGAACCAGGCTGACTGCCAGGACCTGCTCAACGGCTTCCTGTGTGTCTGCCTGCCCGGTGAGTGCAGATTCCCTCAGCCCCCTCAGCCCCCTCAGTGCCCAGTCTCTGAACCTCCGCAGTTGAGGCCCAGCAACACCCAAGGCCTCTTGAAACTCTCCCTAGCCTAGCAAAGAAGGCCCCCATTTCTGCAACTCCTCTCTCCCCAAAGTCTCTTCTGCTACATCCCCCAAATCTTCCCTTGCTTACTTGCCCACCCTCTTCTCTGTGCTTTGCCCAATCACCCAATATCCCTCCTTTCCAGCCTTCTTTCAGAGTCCTCTGTATACTCCCCCTGCACGTTGGGGGTCCCAGGCTGGTCTTGGCACTGCTCGCCGTGGACGCAGGGAAGGCTGCCCCAGACCTTCCTTCTCAGCTTCATCAGACATTTCTCTGTCCCCTGCTCTATAATAACTGATGTTTATTGACTGTTTACTCCAGGCCAGCCACTTGGCTATGTACTTTTCAGGCATTATCTCGTTTAATCCCTTCAATGGTTCCATGAGGTAGATTCCATGATTACTCCCTTTTGACAGAAGAGGAAACTGGAGGCTAGAGAGGTGGAATAGCCCAAAGCCACACAGCTGGCAGGTGGCTGAGCTTCACCTTTTCTGCATCACCCTCCCATCATCTCCACCTGCCCAGGTGTCTTCTGTGGGGAGCCCTCCAGCTTCACCTTTCCTGGCAAGGGGAAGGGTCAGGACTTGTATTTATGCTTTTGGTAAAGTGTCTTTTCAGCATTAGTACACATATCCAGTTATGCCTTATTTATATGAAGAATAAAGTTACCAAGTTATGCTCTGTTATGTATTGAAGCTCAAATCACTATTTGAGAAGCCCCGAAATTGGCGCCTTCTTCATATAATGATACATTTAGACAAAACCCCAAACCAAGCCATTTGAAATAAGATTCTCTCCGTTGCAATTTGTAGCAGTTATTTCTACATAAGTAAAAAGTTTAAATATCAGTGTTAACTCTTAATTTCTTGTTTGAATCCAAGAAATTATGCCTGTAAAGCTCAGTCAAACATTTGTAACAAGCTCCCTAATAAATCTAGAGAAAGTAAAAAAAGATGCCTTTCACCATCTCTCCCCACCCACTCCCTGTTCCACCAGGATTCACCGGCTCCCGGTGTGAGGAGGACATCAACGAGTGCACAAGCTCTCCCTGTGCCAATGGTGGGCAGTGCCAGGACCAGCCTGGATCCTTCCATTGCGAGTGTCTCCCAGGTAAACTGGGACCCAACACTGGACGGGAGAGTGGGGGCAAGGGGTGGACTTCTGTGCAGGTCCCAGAGCCTCCTGCTGTGCCATAGGCTTTGAAGGCCCACGCTGTCAGGTGGAGGTGGATGAGTGTCTGAGTGGCCCGTGCCCCCCAGGAGCCAGTTGCCTTGATCTCCCAGGAGCCTTCTTTTGCCTCTGCCCCTCTGGCTTCACAGGTCAGCAGGGAAGGTGTTGGGAAGGACTGGTGGGATATTTGAGTCCGTTTAGGGTGGAGTAGAGGGCATTGATGGGTGTCCAAATGTTGCAATGTGAGAACAGAATGCGAATGGAAGCCGTTAAAGTTATTCAGTGCAAAACCTGCACAAGCTTACAACCATGGGGCTGAGGGCCCCCCTTGGGCCCAACATGAACGATGTGATTGGGGTTCAGGAGCAGAGGACGGGGTTCAAAGGGAAGCCATACATTTGCTTATTTAGCAAGCATTTATTAAGTGCCTACTATGCCAGACACAGACACAAAGCTGAGTAAGAGAGTTGCTATCCTCAAGTGGCTTTAAATCTTGTGCAGACAAGACTCTTGTTGATTATGGCCCAGAGAGTTACTCTGAGAGAGGAATGCACAGGATCCTGTAGGAACACAAAGGACCAGCCAACCCAGACTAGAGATGAGAAGGCTTCATGGAGGAGATGATGGCTGAGCTGAATGAGTAGGAGTTTGTGAAGATAGAATGCCAGACAGCGTGTTTTAGCTGCAGATAACCGCAAGTGCAAAGGCGTGGATGGAAGAAAAGCACACCCCATTTAAGGAACTGTAGGATTTCCAAGACTTGGAGTGCAACAGGGCAAGGATGAGAAATGCAGCAGTTGTAGGAAGGTCATGTTTTGCAGGACCCAATGTGTCACTCTGAGGAAGTTAGACAGTATCCTGAGGCAATAAGGAGCCACTGAAGGACAGGTTCATGGAGAGTGAGCAAGTCATGCTTAAGAAGTGGCCTTTGGCCCCATCAAGGACATGGAGGGACTCTGTTTTCTCTCTGACCCATCTCCCCACCACAGGTCATCTCTGTGAGGTTGCCCTGTGTGCCCCCAACCTGTGTCAGCCCAAGCAAAAATGCCAGGATCATGACAAGGTGCAGTGCCTCTGCCCTGAGGGAAGGCCTGGCTGTGCCCCCACTGAGGACAACTGCACCTGCCACCATGGGCACTGCCAGAGGTAACGTCTTCCAGGCCCTCTCCATTTGCACTGTCCTCCAGGTCCTCCTCAGCTAGGGCAGGAGACAGCAGTGAGGGGCGGGTCTGCAGGAAACGACCGCTGGGGAATAGGAAGGAGATGGCAAAGTCCTGAGGTCATGGCCAATGGGAGAGCTCAACTGGTGAGTGCTATCTAGTGAGAGAAGAGTTCATAAATAATGGCGGAAACAGAGGACAAGGGCATCAGAGTGGAAAGAAGAGCATTAAATCCCAGGGCCAATTCATCACTCATTAGACAAATATTTATTGAGCATCTACTATGTGTGGGTACTTTTCCAGGCACTGGGGGAACAGCACAGAACAAAAGAGACAAAGTGTCTGCTCTCATGGAGCTTAATTCTAATGAGCAAAGACAGACAATAAACAAGTTACATATCTAGTTGGGAAAATGAGGGGGTGGAGGGCATAAGGGGGACAGTACTGAGAGCAAAGTCACTGAAGAAAGGTGCCAGAGTCTCAGGGCGAAAAGACAAAGAGGTCCTAGGGGTCTGACCAATGTGTAAGGGAGACAAGAAAAACACCGGAAGAAGAGAAACCCTCCCCTTTCTCTTTATGACCAGATCCTCATGTGTGTGTGATGTGGGTTGGACAGGACCAGAGTGTGAGGCAGAGCTGGGGGGCTGCATCTCTGCACCGTGTGCCCATGGGGGCACCTGCCACCCTCAGCCCTCTGGCTACAACTGCACCTGCCCCACAGGCTACACAGGTGAGGCTCTCCCTAAACCATATATACTCCGGGCTGGCCACCCTCTACATCAAGGGCCAGGCCAGTAGAGACATGTGTCTAATGGCTCTGGGTATGCATCACCACAAAGGAAAATTGGGCCCGGGCTGCAGGGGACACAGGTGATGTGTGGGAGGTGGTGAGAAAAGAAAAGAGGTTAGAAAAAGAGAAAAGAGAGAACAATAGGGATGGAGATGAGGAAGGGAAGGGAAAGGGAATAGGAGAAAAGGAAGATGCCCTTTCTCAGCCCCACCCATTTCCCTCAGGGCCCACCTGCAGTGAGGAGGTGACAGCCTGTCACTCAGGGCCCTGTCTCAATGGTGGCTCCTGCAGCCCCAGCCCTGGGGGCTACTCCTGCACCTGCCCTCCGAGCCACACTGGGCCCCGCTGCCAGACCAGCACCGACCACTGTGCCTCTGGTGAGTGCCAACCGTGTCCTGAGGCTGGGCCACAGGGGGATGGAGGAACTGGTCAGGGTGTGTTTGTGCCGTGTCAAAAAAAGTTAACTGGACACAGTGAGCTGTTGTTTTGAGGGGGTGCTGGGGAAGGAGGGTGGGTGTATGTCCTGTGTTTGGTGTGACTGAGGTCACAGGACGAATTACAGGCAAGGAACCCAACCCCTCACAGCCTCCTCTCTCCAGCCCTGTGCCTCAATGGGGGTACCTGTGTGAACAGGCCTGGCACCTTCTCCTGCCTCTGTGCCACCGGCTTCCAGGGCCCACGCTGTGAGGGAAGGATCCGTCCCAGCTGTGCAGACAGGTGAGCAGGGCTCAAAGACCCCTGGAGGAAGGGAGGTAGCCCCTCAGCCTTCCCATCCTTCCTCTCCCTCTCCTCTGGGGCTCCAGGCTGCCTCCCATTCCACATCCTATACTCATTCACTTTGCCTTCCCTCCTGGTTTCCCAACTGCCCAATGGTTGCCAGCCCACCACATCACACACTCCCTCCCCCTTTCCCAGACCTTCCTCCTACTGTGCCCTGTCTCTGTCTTGTCTAGCCCCTGTAGGAACAGGGCGACCTGCCAAGACGGCCCTCAGGGTCCCCGCTGCCTCTGCCCCCCTGGCTACACAGGAGGCAGCTGCCAGGTGAGGGACACCAAGCCAGGTGTGCTGAGGAGGGAGGTGGCTGGACAGTTCCAGGGAAGGGTCTCAGTTACTAAAAGGTGGGCAGCAGGGAAGCTTGGGAGCAGTATTCACATGGAAGTCTAGGAGTTGAGGTCTAGCTTCAGGTTTGTATGGAGTTGAAGGACTGAAAGGATTTCTGACGCCAAGGACTGTTCTGGGATGTGAGTATCAATGGAAACCAGGGAGGGTCTACTTATCCCAGACCATTCAGGAGAGAGTTTTAGAGGTAAGGGATTTGGAGGAGCTGAAGTTGGCAGAGGACTAACTGGGCCTGGGAATCTGATGCTCTGTCCTGCCTCATGCTCTCTCCCAACCTTCAGACTCTGATGGACTTATGTGCCCAGAAGCCCTGTCCACACAATTCCCACTGCCTCCAGACTGGGCCCTCCTTCCACTGCCTGTGCCTCCAGGGATGGACTGGGCCTCTCTGCAATCTTCCACTGTCCCCTTGCCAAAAGGCTGCTCTGAGTCAAGGTACCAACCCAAGGACCAACGTGGGAGCAGATGAAGAGAAAAAGAATGTCCTCCTCTACCCCATCCTTAATGGCATCCACACACAACATTTGGCCAAAACAACCAACTTAGAGCCGAAGCAACACAAACCAACCAGTTACTGATTCCACAGTTCCACACCCAGTGTAGCCTAACACAACTCAACTCCTAGCATCACATTCAATGAAACTCAAGCAACATCAACCAGCGCAGTCCAGTAAGACTCCAGTTTAACACAACCACCAGGGACATAACTCAGTGTGGAACAACTCAACTCTGTCATTATCATCATAACTCAACCAGAGTGGACCACTTTTAACTCAACTACACTCAACACACTTCGCCACACCCCACTCACTTGAATGTTACACCAACCTCCTTGTAAAAGAATACTCTTCTTATTCAAATGAGGTTTGATACGAGAAGACCTCAGGAAAGAGACTATTGGGGGACAGGGGACAGCTGATGGGAATCACAATGAGAGAATATCAGAAGATGCAAAATTCAAGGGACAGACTTGGGCCATTAAGTAAGCCATGTGCCCACACTTGAAGTGTCCCTTGAGTTCTTTCTTGCTTGAGACTTGTTTTAAGCCAAGAATATAGTTGCTTATAATGCTCTGATAAGCTTAAGAAGAGGTGTCTCTCTCCATGCTGGCAGAAAAGGCAGGAGGGGAAACTTGATGTTTTAACCTCTTCAGCATCAGGAGTTACTGACTCCTCAGGCTCCAAGTGGCCTCCACCCACCCCAGGAATGGTAGTGGCCCCCACAGGCCTCTCTGCTCGGTATCTGGGGCCCCTGAGCACCCTTCCACTTAGCTTTATTGATCTCTGTCTGTCTCTCTCTCTCTAGGCACAGAAGTCTCTTCCCTGTGCCAGAATGGAGGCCTCTGCATCGACAGCGGCCCCTCCTATTTCTGCCACTGTCCCCCTGGATTCCAAGGCAGTGTATGCCAGAACAGGGTGAACCCATGTGAATCCAGGCCCTGCCAACACGGGGCCACCTGCGTGGCCCAGCCCAACGGGTATCTCTGCCAGGTGAACAGGTCTAGAGGAGAGTGGGGAGGGGAGACAAGGGTGGGCTGGATGTGGGAAACAGCAGTCCTGGGCCAGTGGGGATGATGTACCCATTTTCCTTTCCTTTACCCCAACATCCAACCAACTGCCAAATCATGCCATTTTACCTCCTAAATATTTCTCAACTCTGTCTTTTTCCCTTAGTCCAGGCCTTTGCTGCATTCCACCTGGACAACTGCATCAGCCTCCTAACTATCGTCCCTTCCTCCACACTTGTCCTCCTATAGGTTCAGCCTTCACTCCACTACCAGAGTGCTCTATTGAAAATATTAAGCTGATCTGTCACATCCCTGCTTAAAATCTTTCAGCGGCTGGCTGCCCACCTCTTTCACAATGAAGTCCAAGGCCATGCTTGACCCAGACTTGCCTGCCTCTCAGGCCTCATCTCTCCCTACCCCCACCCTCCTATTCTCTGCTCCAGCACACAAGACTGCTGCTGGCTTCCATATAGACTGGCTCTTTGGTGGCCTTCCCCACTCCTCTTCCACTGGATGGTGCCCAGGAGGCGTCCTCTTCAGGAAAATGTCCCTAACTTCTCTCCAGGCTGGGTTAGGGCCTCTCCTTGGTGGTTCAGGTCACTGAGCAGAAGAGGCACAGCTGGGATTCAAGTCCATGCAGCCTGATCCCTGTACTCAGAACCAGGACATTGGATAAAAGGCACAATACAGATCCCCTAACCATCCTCTTCCATTAACTTTTTCATTTGATTTTTTAACTTTTTGTTATGAGCATTTGCAAACAGACACAAAAGCAGTGTACTGATTAGTAGTAAACCCCTGTGCACCCATTACTCAGCTTCACTTCCTTTCATGAAACTCCCTCCTCCAGAAGTTCCCAAAACACCCCACATCATCTGCTTCTTCCAGCCCTCTGGCCTCTCCTCAGATTCTTTGTAAATCCCTTTTTCTCCATCTTTCTGAAGTCTTCCTGAAACTCCATTCTTGCATGCTCTTCTTCCTCTTGCAGGAACTCAGCACCTGGTACAGACCTCATCAACAACCCTTCTCTCACTAGCAGAATATGAAACAATCAGAAAATGGTTAAGGGCATCAGTTGTGAAGTCACAGACTTGCACTGAATCCCAGCTCTGCCACCTACTAGCTCTGTGACTTGTGCAAGTCACTTAACCTTTCAAGGAATCAGTTCCCTTTTCTGTAAAGTGAGAATCAAGTGACATAATCCACATAGAAGATTGTTAGGAGGGTTTTATGAGGTTACGTATATAATTCATGCAATAAATGCTCGCTGTCTCTCTCCTCTGGTTGACTAAGAACTTCATGGAAGCAGGGATGAGTTCTAATTTTCTTTGTATTCCTAGTGCCTAAGATGGTGCCTGGCACAAAGTAGGCATTCAATAAATGCTTACAAATTAAGTAATAAAGCATGACAGAGCCTGCTGGGTGTGTGGTGGGGGGAGGGAGGTTTTATTAAACAGAGCTATGTTTAGTGGCAATGCGTCAGATTGTTTGGGACCGGGGAGGCGTTAAGTTGCATGTTATTGAAGAATTGTGTATCGTGTGGAATGGAGATAGAAGCGTTAAGCTACACGTGGCTGTGATGGATGGTGAGTTGAGTGATGCTTTGAGCTGGAAGGTGGGGGGCTGGGCAGACATCTTGAGCTGGGTCCTCCGTAGTGCTGGAATGGGCTTGTTTACTGGTTCCCTGGCTGACCCTCTTTGCCTGCAGTGTGCCCCAGGCTACAGTGGACAGAACTGCTCAAGGGAACCTGACGCCTGTCAATCCCAGCCCTGTCACAACCACGGGACCTGCACCCCCAAACCTGGAGGCTTCCACTGTGCCTGCCCTCCGGGCTTTGTGGGGCTGCGCTGTGAGGGGGATGTGGATGAGTGTCTGGACCAGCCCTGCCACCCCACAGGCACTGCAGCCTGCCATTCTCTGGCCAATGCCTTCTACTGCCAGTGTCTGCCTGGACACACAGGTGAGGCCTGGGATGGGGGACGTAGGCATCTCTGTGGCACAGCTGAGAAGACTATGGAAACCCAGTAAATCTGCACCCACAAGGCAGCCTAGTCATCTTGTCCATCCCCCTGCCTGTACAGCCCAATCCAAAGAATATGCCCCAGGATCCATTTGCCTGTGCATCTAGTGCTCAGCCGACTTCCAGGAATGAGCTAGGAAGGAGGCAGTGACTGAGCTGTCTGTGACGTCTAATCCCACCCTCACCACAGGCCAGTGGTGTGAAGTGGAGCTAGACCCCTGCCAGAGCCAGCCCTGCTCCCACGGAGGGTTCTGTGAGGCCACAGCAGGACCACCCCGGGGGTTCATCTGCCACTGCCCCCAGGTGAGTGACCACAAAGCTGCCTTCTCTGCTGCCCCCAACACTGATGCAAGGTGAGAACGCCTGAGCTGGAATCCTAGAGGGGAGCCTGGGGGAGCACTGGAGTGGGAATTGTTGGAGAAAGCCATCCCATGTTCACAGTGGCTCTCAGAAGCAGTCAGAGGGAAAGGCAGTATCAGGTGGTAGCATGAAAGGAATTTTTAGAAATCATGGGCATTGCCCAAGGGAAGGTCCCCAAGGTCAAGCTGAGTGACCTTGGATAAGTTCTTTTAACTCTGTGTGTGTGTGTGTGCACGCGTGCGTGTGTACCGCAGATGCTGGAAACTGGATTAATCTTAAGCCTTAGTTCATGATACACTAATATTAGTGGTTTGTGCATGGCCTTCTTTTATTTTATTATTCTTACAATATAACACCCATGAACTTAACCCAAGAATTCCAATATTAACAACTTACATGTACTTGTACTTACGTCTTTCTCTATCCTATTCCCCTTCCAGAGGAAGAGAAAATATATAATCCTATCTCCAAGGATTAAGATAATAATATTAGTTCAATTCTATTAACTGTTTAGTCTTCTAGAACTTGCAGCATGATGCTACAATTCATCCAGGTTGTTGCACACAGCTATGGTTCATCCATTTTCACCACAGTGTAGTATGTCATTGTGTGAAAAAACATGGGATATGGTTTCAACATCTGTAAAATGATAAACTTGATGTTCTCTGAGGCCCCTTCCAGATATGAGAATCTAGGACCCTCTGAGCTACTTTAACCCAGTAATTTGCTTGAGGGGAAGTGGGAAGAATAATACAAGCTCCTTCCCCACATCTCTCCTCCTCTCCGCAGGGTTTTGAAGGCCCCACCTGCAGCCACAAAGCCCCCTCCTGTGGCCTCCATCACTGCCACCACGGTGGCCTGTGTCTGCCCTCTCCCAAGCCTGGCTTCCCACCGCGGTGTGCCTGCCTCAATGGCTATGGGGGCCCTGACTGCCTGACCCCACCTGCTCCTCAAGGCTGTGGCCCTCCTTCTCCATGCCTACACAATGGCAGCTGCTCAGAGACCCCCGGGCTGGGGGGCCCAAGCTTTCGATGCTCCTGCCCCCCCGGCTCTCCAGGGCCCCGGTGTCAGAGGCCTGGAGCAAAAGGTTGCGAGGGCAGGGGTGGAGATGGGGCCTGTGACGCTGGCTGCAGTGGCCCAGGAGGAAATTGGGATGGGGGGGACTGCTCCCTGGGGGTCCCAGACCCATGGAAGGGTTGCCCCTCCCACTCCCGCTGCTGGCTTCTCTTCCGGGACGGGCAGTGCCACCCACAGTGTGACTCTGAAGAGTGTCTGTTTGATGGCTACGACTGTGAGACACCTCTAGCCTGCACGTGAGCCTGAAACCCAGACTTGGGTGGGATGGGCAGGGTGACGCCTCTGCGTTAGTGTGACAACAGCCTCAAGCTCCAGGGAGTTTCCACCCTGATAACCATTGCTAAGTAGGGGTAGAAGACGCTGAATTCCAACCCAGGGGGATGGGGCAACATCAATATTTAATGTGGAGAAAGAGGGCAGTGCCTCTGTCTGGGCTCCTGAGAGTTGTAGGAGCTCTGGCCTCAAGCTTCTTTCTCTAAGCCATGTTGCCAGGGAGTATCTCCCCTAGAAACCAAGTACCTCTGAGGGAAAGGGGCCTTGGGCTCTCCTTCAGGGAGACAGGAGAGCTTGGGATGTTAGGGAGGGGAAGCTCTTAGGAAACAAGGGTGTCAGCAGACATTAGGGCATCTGGGCTACCAACTATCCAGAGCCTGACTAAGCCCATTGCCCCAGAGATGCCCCCACTTAGCAACCAGTGGCCTAGAGGCTGTGGAATATCAGAAATCCTCTTTGGGTTAAAGAAGGGAGTCAGATTTCTTTGGGGGTTCTGAGTCCCCTTCTCCTCACCCCACAGTCCAGCCTATGACCAGTTCTGCCACGACCACTTCCACAATGGGCACTGCGAGAAAGGCTGCAACACTGCAGAATGTGGCTGGGATGGGGGCGACTGCAGGCCCGAAGACAGGCATTCAGAGTGGGGGCCCTCCCTGGCCCTGCTAGTGGTACTGAGCCCCCCGGCCCTGGACCAGCAGCTGCTCACCTTGGCCCGAGTGCTGTCCCTGACTTTGAGGGTGGGGCTCTGGGTGAGGAAGGATAGTGATGGCAGGGACATGGTGTACCCCTATCCTGGGGCTCAGGCCGAAGAGGAGCTAGGAGGAATCCCAGACCCCTCTCATCAGGAGAGAGCAGCCCCTCAAACACAGCGTGCAGGCAAGGAGACAGACTCCCTCAGCACTGGGTAAGAAGGCTAGGTGGAGGGGCGGGCCAAACACTAGTTTTTTAATGGGCAGAGGGATGGGAGCCAGGAACCAACACAGGGGTCTCTGAGGTGCCTCCCCCACAGGTTTGTGGTTGTGATGGGTGTGGATTTGTCCCACTGTGGCCCTGACCACCCTGCATCCCGCTGTCCCTGGGACCCTGGGCTCCTGCTCCGCTTCCTTGCCGCGATGGCCGCAGTGGGGGCCCTGGAACCCCTCCTGCCAGGACCACTGCTGGCTGCCCACCCTCGTGCAGGTACCGGTAGGTGACGCCCTGTCATTTCCCTGGCTTTTCTACCAGATTGGCTTTCATGCCAGAAATCAGCAACGGAGGTCAAATGAAAGAGGATCACTGGGAGCCCAAATGTTCTTTGTGGCGCCTTACCCTTGTTAACCCCTCTTTCTCTAACTGGATCTCCTCGTGGCCCATTTGCTCTGCAATCTCCTTCCTGACTTCCCTAAGTACTTTATCCTAACCTCTATCATAGACCTCCCAGAAACCTCAGTCCTGTCTACTAGGCCGAGCATATCCAAACATCCGTGTATCAAACAGCTCACAGTACATGAAAGAATAATAACTCTTATATAGCACTTCCTATGTGCTATGTCTTACACTAAGCGTTTTACAGCATTAACTCATTTAGTCCTCCCAACAACCCCATGAGGCAGGTACTATTATTATTCCCATTCCATAGATGAGGAAATTGAGGCAAAAAGAGGTTCCTGCACTTGCCCAAAGGTTTCACAGCAGTACCCAGCCTCTCTAGGAATGGCTTCTTTTTGTGACTTTGTCTCTCCCACCAGAGCCCCCCTCCAACCAGCTTCCCTGGCCCGTGCTGTGCTCGCCGGTGGCCGGGGTCCTTCTCCTGGCCCTTGGGGCTCTTCTCGTCCTCCAGCTCATCCGGAGACGTCGCCAAGAGCATGGAGCCCTCTGGCTGCCCCCTGGGTTCACTCGAAGGCCTCGGACTCAACAGGCTCCTCGCCGACGCCGCCCCCCCCTGGGCGAGGACAGCATCGGCCTCAAGTGAGAGTGAGGAGGAACTGGGGCTCAGGGAAGGGACTCTTTCCTGTGGAGATATTGATGACCAGAAGCCATAAGAGATGTTATTGTAGAAGCTGAAGACAGAGGAAGGGGAAAGGGGTCAGTAGGCTGCTGGAAATCTTGGGGACCCTAAATGTCTTCTATCCACCCACCCCCTTCCAGGGCACTGAAACCAGAGGCAGAAGTTGATGAGGATGGAGTTGTGATGTGCACAGGCCCCGAGGAAGGAGAGGAGGTGGGCCAGGTGAAAGCAGTGGGGCAGAAATGATCCTGAGGCGATGGAGGGAATGAAGGGACAAGTGAACCTTCCTTCACTGATTCTTGTTCTCATCCCCAAGGCTGAAGAAATGGCCTCACCCTCCAAGTGCCAGCTCTGGCAGCTGAGTGGTGACTGTCAGGAGCTCCCACAGGCAGCCATGCTGACTCCTCCCCAGGAATCTGAGATGGATGTCCCTGACGTGGACACCCGTGGACCTGGTACGTGAGCCAACCCAGACCAAGAAAACAAAAACTGCTTTTGACCCTTTTAGAATCAGAAAGTACTTTAACATCAGAACTGGAGAAACTGTTAGAATTAGTGCCTTAGACCAGTGATTCTCAAAATATGGTTCCGGGACAGAAGAATTAGCATCACCAAGGAAATTGTTAGAAATACAAATTCTCAGGCTCCACTCCAGAGCTACTGATTCAGAAATTCAAGATATTGGGGAATCTATGTCTTAACAAGCCCTCCAGGTGAGTCTGACCCAGACTTAAGTTTGAGAACCACTGCCCTAGAATGTTAGAGAATTAAGGCCTGCTGGCTCCTTTTACTGATGAGGAAACTGAGGCCTAGAGAAAAGTAGAAAAGTTACTTGACTAAAACCACAAAAAATCAAGAGCCAGAGCTGGACTTCCTGACCCCTCAGGCTGTGATTTTGCCTGAGGCTCCATGTTCTCCCCCTCCCCAATTATGTCCTTTTGATTGACTTATCCCCCATTCCTCCTGTCTCCCACCCACAGATGGGGTGACACCCCTTATGTCAGCAGTCTGCTGTGGGGGAGTGGAGTCCAGGACCTTCCAAGGGGCATGGTTGGGAAGCCCTGAGCCCTGGGAACCTCTGTTGGGTGGAGGGGCTTGTCCCCAAGCTCACACTGTGGGCACTGGTGAGACCCCCTTACACCTGGCTGCCCGATTCTCCCGGCCAACCGCCGCCCGCCGCCTCCTTGAGGCTGGAGCCAACCCCAACCAGCCAGACCGAGCAGGGCGCACCCCCCTTCACACGGCTGTGGCTGCTGATGCTCGAGAGGTCTGCCAGGTCAGTGCACACTGGGGTCGCTACAGGGAACAAGGGGCAAACCCGCAAGCAAAGCTGGGTCAAAGCATCCCCTAGGGTTCGGCAAAGAGGAAGGTGATGTCAGATTGGGGACCTGAAAGGGAAACAAGAACAGATGGCTGAATATAGATTGGGAGGTGGTTAACAGTGTGAGGGACCTGAGCTAGCTAGATCATGCTAGGGGTCACTGGCCCTCTCTGGCCCCTAGCTCCTACTCCGCGGCAGACAGACTGCAGTGGACGCGCGGACAGAGGACGGGACCACAGCCCTGATGCTGGCTGCCAGACTGGCAGTGGAGGACCTGGTTGAAGAGCTGATTGCAGCCCAAGCAGATGTGGGGGCCAGAGATAAATGGGGTACGGATCTGGGGAAGTTGATGTTGTGCTACAGAGAAGTTGAGCAAATGGGTTTTGAAATAAGATGCAAAAAAACGAAGCAGGAGAGTGACCAACTGGAGGCTGGGGGATTCCCTCCCACCCTGTAGTCAGGGTGGTAAATCTGCGGTGCAGTGGCGGCCTGTGAGTCTTCCCCATCATCCTCAACAACACACACACGTGAGTCTTCCCCATCATCCTCAACACACACCCTGCGCTAGCCCACTAGGAACTAGGAAGGGGGAAGTGTGTGTGTGAGATACAGGGAGGGGTCTCTTGGGGGAAGGTGGTCTCCCGGTCCCACCGACCCCAGAACAATGCCCCATTGTCAATCCCGCGCGCCGGTGACGTCACCAGGGGCAGCGCTTCCTGCCGGCCGGCGGTCACCCGGGCAACGCTTCCGCCTTTGAGCAACCCGGCGGGCCCGAGTACCCTTCCCCCAAGACGAAAATCCGTGGGAAACAGGAACCCAGGCATCTGGCCCCCGGCCTTGGCTTAACAACCTCCCCTGTCGTCCCCTAGGAAAAACCGCGCTGCACTGGGCCGCGGCCGTGAACAACGCCGGGGCTGCCCGCTCCCTTCTCGAGGCCGGAGCCGATAAAGACGCCCAGGACGGCAGGGTTAGACAGGGCAGCGGGCTCCCCCACCCCAAAAGAAAAAAGGGCGCGGGAGAGGTGGAAAGCGCGAGAACCCCGTAATACCAGAAGGGGGAGGGGCCAGCAGTCAAGTGGGTGGAGTCCTGAAGGGCCAGTCCTGTGGGCGTGGCCTTCCCTGATCTCGCCCCCTCGCTGTTTCCTCCGGCACAGGAACAGACACCGCTGTTCCTGGCGGCCCGAGAAGGGGCGGTGGAGGTAGCCCAGCTGCTGCTGGGGCTTGGGGCGGACCGACGGCTGCGGGACCAGGCCGGGCTAGCGCCCGAAGACATCGCCCGCCAGCGCAACCACTGGGATCTGCTGACGCTGCTGGAAGGGGCGGGGCCCCCGGAGGCGCGTCACAAAGCCACGCCGGGCCGCGGGGCGGACCCCTTCCCGCGCGCGCGCACCGCGTCGGGAAGTGTGCCCCCGCGTGGGGGCGGGGCTCTGCCGCGCTGCCGGACGCTCTCAGCCGGAGCACGCCCGCGTGGGGGCGGAGCATGTCTGCAAGCCCGTACTTTTTCCACAGACTTGGCCGCGCATGAGGGCGGGGCCTATTCGCATTGCCGGAGCCTATCGAAAGGAGGAGCAGGAGGAGGCCCGCCCCCCCGCGGCCGTAGGTTTTCTGCAGGCATGCGCGGGCCGCGGCCCAACCCTGCAACAGTGCGAGGAAGATCCGGGGTTGCGGCCGGCAGCGGGGGTGTGGCCTCAGGTGGTAACTGGCCCAACGATTGGGTAGCCCTGGGAGCCTGCGGCGCCGCCTCCAACACTCAGATCCCGCCTCCTTGCCTTACTCCGTCCCCGGAGCGGGGTTCCCCTCAAGTTGCCTGGGGTCCCCCAGCCCACCAAGTAATACCTTTAAATGCAGGAGGCGAGGATCAAAAATAGAAGGCTACATGTCAGGGAGGCTAAATGACAGTCTGGAAGGCCTCCAGATTTTAAGGTCCTTGAAAGACCCCTAAAAGTGAGGGGTCATGAGTGTAGTTTCCCTCCCACAATGAGTGTCTGCCTACTCAGAACCGTCATCTCCCACGTGGAGAAGCTGCAGCCCTGGAAAGAGGGTTTGGGGTGCTGGGATGAAGCAAGCCCAGCCCACGTCCCAGAAAATAAGGGTGAGGGGCTACAGAGGGTGGAGTGGGGGAAGTACCCCTGAACTGGAACCAAGATCTGCAGACAGATAGGATGTAAGATATTCTTTACTGTATGTGGCTCCCAAAGGGAGCCTCTATCACCCATCACACCCACTACCCACAAAGGGCTGACAAGTATTTATTGAGCACACACTATGTGCCAGGCACTATGTAGGTGCTGAAGGGAGGGCCAAGGGCCACTCCAGCTGATGACTCCTTGCATTCTCCCCACCTCTCCTCCCAAACAAATCACTGCAGGGATGAAGCGCCACTCTTCTAGCCACGGCTATCTCTATTTAAGAACCCCAAATCTGTCACCCAATAATAAAGCTGATTTGAAGTGTTAATTTTTTTTGGAGGGGTTGGGGAGTGTCATGGGAAAAAATATGGAAGTAACTGCATAGTGTTTTCAGAATTTTGTGCCCTAAGTTCAACATTTGGATAGAGGCTTTGAGTATAGTTTAAGAGCAAGAATAAGAAGCTTTGGGGGTCCCATGTTAATTTAGGGTATCATCTGAAAGGAAAAGTTGCTAGTAGCCCAGGGAGAAACCACACACACACTAGACCCTGCATACGCTTTGTCCCTCTTCCAAGGGCATTTTGTTATAGCCACTTAGGAAATTCCTAAGGCCTCAAGTTAAAGGAGATAGAGCATCTTAAATTTTATCCATCTTTCAGCAACGTGGCTACACCTCTTTAATGATGACGGGCCTTAGACATGGAGGCCATGAGGCTTTTTGAAAGCTAATAATAACCATCATTTACTGAGCATTCACAATGTGCCAAATGCCTTATCACATTTAATCCTCACATCAACTCTATAAGGCATGTGCTATTAAAGCTCCATTTTACTCTTTCAGAAACTGAGGCACAGAGATTTTGTTTGTCCAAGATTGCAAGGCATTAAGTGGCCGAACCGGATCTCTTCATCACATTTCATGCTCCAAGTCACTCAGCTGTAAACCTCCTAATATGACAGGTTGCCATTTAGGGGTCGCAAATGTCTATCCTGCTCCCACCCTAGTGCCAGCCAGCCTGAGCAGCACTGATCCAAGACCCAGCCAGGGAGGTGGTCCTCTCCCTTTTCCATTTCTGTATCCCTCATTCATGACCAGAGGAAAGTTTCCCTGCCCCTTGTCTCTCACATTTGGTATGTATCATGTCCCGTGAATAGACTATAAGCACCCAGAGGGCAGGGATAACTATTCAACACATGTTTATTGAATACTTACTGTGTGTTGGACCCAGTGCTAGGGGTTTATGTATGTTTGAGAGCCCAACATCCCTGGGTCTGAGTCCTCTGCTTCCTACTGGAACCACGCCCCTCCCAGTCCCAATAAGTCTGAGGGAAGCTAGGAAGCAGGGGAGGACTGAATCCTACATCAGGGTCCATCTTAGAGAAGGGACCTGGGGTGGGGGGGTTCTGAGGAGTGAAACCACTTCCTGTGTAGCTAGTTCCTGTGTTGACAGAAAGAGCTAAAGGGGAGGAGGGGGTGGAGGGAACAGAGCCCAGGGTTAGGGGGTTACTGAGGCTCTGGAGATGCGAAGGCCAAGAGTCCTTCTCCACCGTGAACCCCCTCTACTACTGCAGCTGGAGGAGTTTTTCCCAGTCTGTGCTCCCCTGGGGCGAGAGAGATCAAGCAAGCGGCTTGGGTGGGAAAAGAGAACTGGAGGAAGTTGACAGGGATGGGCGGGGCCCGTGGGGGGGCTGACCAGGAACCCAGCTTCCTGTTCAGTACCCAGGCATCCAGCCCCCGGCTCACCCCCACCCCTTCCAGCCCCCATTCCCCACAGGAACCCAGGGTTCCGGCCCTCCTCCCAAATCCCAGCTACCCCTCCCCCATCAGTTTCTCCCCTCCAGGGGATGGAGGCCGAGAGACCCCAGGAAGAAGAGGATGGTGAGCAGGTGAGCCGGGCACTGGGTCGGGGAGGCTGACTCTGGGAGAGAGGGAGGTGAGAGGACCTGGGACCTAGTGACGGTGGACTCAGGGGACTTGGAAGAGCCTGGACACACTGAGGCAAGAACAGAGACACAGAGAGAGGAAATGAGCTGCTGGCCTAGCCCCCTGCCCACCCCACCTCTGCCTGACTGGACCGGATGTCTCTCCACATCAGGGCCCCCATCAGGATGAGCATGGCTGGCCCCCTGTGAACACCAACACTCGGCCTTGGCGATCTGCTCCTCCATCCCCTCCTCCTCCAGGGACCCGCCACACAGGTACCTCCATCCACCCAGGTTGCTCCCTGACCCTGGTGCCCATATCCTTCCTGATCCCATTACCAAAGCCTACTCCATCATGGGCCCTCTCCCCACCTCCTCCAGACTCCCCATCGTACCCCCTCAGCTCTGTCCCCAAGTCCCTAATTACCTTACCCTGCCCCCACCACTACCACCACCACTCCTGTCTGCCAATTTCTGTGAGTCTTTGAGCCCTCCCCCTCCTCTCCCCAGCCTTGGGGCCCCGCTCGGCCTCCCTGCTCTCCCTGCAGACTGAGCTCCTCCTGGACCTGGTGGCTGAGGCCCAGTCCCGCCGCCTAGAGGAGCAGAGGGCCACCTTCCACGCCCCCCAGAACCCCCCAAGCCGAGTCCCAGCCCCACTTCGGCCTCTTGAGGACAGAGAACAGCTCTATAGCACCATCCTCAGTCACCAGGTGAGACACCCTCCTAGGAAGCAAGACCCAGGCTTCCTGGTCTCTTAGCCCCTGTTCTCTTTTGGGCCCTACCCGCCTCCCTATCTGTCCCCTCGCCAGGCCCTAGTACCCCCATCCCCATCACAGCTGTCCTATATGTCCCTCACACCAGCCCTGGCTCCTTTCAAGGCTTGCTCCTCTTAGAACCTCACCAACACCCTCTCCTCCCTCCACTCCTCCAGTGCCAGCGGATGGAAGCCCAGCGGTCAGAGCCTCCCCTACCTCCAGGGGGGCAGGAGCTCCTGGAGTTGCTGCTGAGAGTTCAGGGTGGGGGTCGAATGGAGGAGCAAAGGTCCCGGCCCCCCACACACACCTGCTGAGACTTGAGCCCCCCACCAGCCCCTTTGCACTCCTGGGGCTCAAAGCTGGGAAGCCCATTGCACACCCTCAACCCTGCTTGGCAGGGCCACTAGAGACTGGAAGACCCAGCACAAATCTCAATATTCATTGCCCTCATCTACCTTCCCTGGGAATTGGAAGGGGTGAAAGTCCTCAAACCTTGGGAATAGTCAAGGTAGGATAGTCATTTAACTCCCTCCCCCAGTACGTGGGAGCTTGAAGAAGTGAGAGGATCTCAGCCACCAAGGGACACCCCACCTCCTCCTCTGATCTCAGGGAGTGGCAGGGAGTCTTGGTCCTGAGCTGTGGGGACACCCCGGTAGTCAAACCACTAGGCAGGAACTGAGGGCTCAGACCTCCTTCTCCCAAGAAAAGGCAAATCTCCCAAGGTTATAACCTGAGTGAGTGTTCCACCGTTCTTCCCAGTAAGAAAGGAAGGGAGGGTGGGCACAGCAAAGAGACAAAGACTCTTCTCCCAGCCCCACCACAGCACCCCCCAATCCCAGGACTGAGGGGCCTACAGGCTGTGAATGGACATTTAGCCCTGCCCACCCTCCCCACTGCTGCTCTGAGTCTGTATGATGTTTTGACTGTATGAATAAATATAATTCCCCTCTGGACTGAAGACTGGTGTCTGGGGCTGCCGGGTGGAGGGTAGGAAGGTGAGGCCAGAGGCCGCTTCTTTCCCCAGTCTGGCTGGAGGCCAGCTCCCCTCCCTGGCTGGTTAATTACTGGCTCATTAAGCAGCGGCTGGAGACCTCCCTAATTATCCCCCCCCCAGCCCCCCTCTCTTGGTTTTAATTAAGTAGAACAGGGAGAGGAGTCATTAGGACAAGAAATATGAACTGAGCTGTCTGTGAACCCAGGCATTCCAGCGCCCAGAGTCCACATCCCCTGGATCCCTGATTCGGAACCCAGGTGGCAAGCCCCCCAGCCCCCAACACGCCCCCTTCCCAGGCCACAGAAGTCCAGCCCCGGGGCCTTCCCTTTTTTCTTCCCTTGGACTAGTCTCCTCCCCTTGTCCCCTCTTCCCTCTCCCCTCCTCCACTCGGTCTCAGTTCCTCTGTTTCTGTGTGTCTCTCCGCCCCCAGCTCCTCCCCGTTCCTCCTCTCTTCTCCCCTCCTCTTCCTCCTCGGCTCCCCTCCCCCAGCCTCCCTCCCTCGCTCCCCCCCTTCTCCCTCCTCCCTCCTCGCTCGCTCTCACACACACCCCCGCTTGGGCCTCCTCTCTCTCCGGCTCCATTTTCTCCGCCGCCGGGGGCCGGGGTCGCCTCTGGGGGGCCCAGCCGGTACCCCAGGTCTCCCATCAGGGCCGGGGTGAACCCCCGGGGGAGCCGGGAGGGGGGGAGACGGGCGGGGGTAGGGGCGGAGGGAGTAGCGGCCCCAGCGAGTTTGGGGGGGAAGTAACCAGGCGGGGGGAGGGGCGGAGCAGGGAGGGGGCCTCAGGGCCCCCCCCCAACTATGGACGAGCGGCTACTGGGGCCGCCCCCTCCAGGCGGGGGCCGGGGGGGCCTGGGATTGGTGGGTGGGGAGCCTGGGGGACCTGGCGAGCCTCCCGGTGGCGGAGACCCCGGTGGGGGTAGCGGGGGGGTCCCGGGAGGCCGAGGGAAGCAAGACATCGGGGACATTCTGCAGCAGATAATGACCATCACCGACCAGAGCCTGGACGAGGCCCAGGCCAAGTGAGTGCCCCCACCCCGGGACCCCACACAGACCCAGCAGAAGCCCCATTCACAAGCTCTAAATCTTCCGGGAGCCCCCACTCCCCAACTCCATGATCCTACAGCTCTCTTCTCTTCTTACTCCCGGGAGCCTTGAGATAAGTGATCCCTCTCAAACCACCCTTTGCCCCCAGGCCCTGAAAGCTTCAAGAGGGAAACCCCAGGTGGTCTCACCACCACCACCCCCGCGCCCCCCCCCCCCCCCCGCAGCTCCTCACTGACCCCCACACTTCCCTGGAACATCCTTCCATCTCCAGAGCCCCCTTCTGGCTCCGAGAATAAGAAACTGCTATGCTGTCTTCTCCCCTAACTCTCTACCCAGCCCACCCACCTCCTCTCCAGACCTGGGGACCACCACACCCCTCCCCAGAGCTCCTACCAGCCTTCTCCGCCCATGACCCAGCCTCCAGGGGTCCTCACCCACACTTGGCCCCTGCTCAGCTCTCCTCTAGGAGCATCGGAGTCTCTCACCCAGCTCAGTCCCAGGACCCTCCACATAACATCTATACTGAACTCATTTAGCTCAGCACCCCTAACACCTCTCTGGCACCTCAAATTCTGAGTCTTCTCCCCAGCCTCCATCTCTCTCCCTCTGAAATCTACCTTGTCACCCTTATTTCTGCAGTCACCCCCAAACGCACCCTCTAAACCCTTCTAGACCATCCCCCACAGCCCCCAGCCCATCCACAGTGCCTTTAGCCTGCTGCCTGCACCTTCCCTCCATCTTCCTAAAGCCAAGCAGCTTCCCCACATCTCCCTCCTCTAGGAGCTGATCTCTTCCCAAGAAACCCCCAACTCCATTCCACCCCCAATTTCGCTTTCTTGTTTCCCTACTTGTTCCCAGGCTCCCCTCTCTCAATGCTATGGTCCCCCACCCCACCCCCCACCCTCTGTTTCTGTAGCTCCTCAGCTTTTCTCTCTCTTCCTCCCAAGGAAACACGCTCTAAACTGCCACCGAATGAAGCCTGCTCTCTTTAGCGTCCTGTGTGAAATCAAGGAGAAAACCGGTATGTGGGTCCCCTTCTGATTCCTCAACTCTGAGGACGGAACCCTGTTCACTATAGGATTCAGGCTAAGAGTTGACAGCTTGCGGCCCTGAGGAAAGTGGGGGTTAGGGAGGTTGCTAGGGGGACTGGGGAAGAACCAAAACCTGGAAACTTGAGTCTCCAGGAGGCACCAGGAGGGCTGAGAGCTGGGTGTGGGTCCCTGGGTCCCTAAGTCCACTCAACTGCACACTAGGCCTCAGCATTCGAAGCTCCCAAGAGGAGGAGCCGGTGGACCCACAGCTGATGCGCTTGGACAACATGCTTCTGGCAGAGGGTGTGGCTGGGCCTGAGAAAGGGGGGGGCTCAGCGGCAGCAGCTGCAGCTGCTGCAGCCTCCGGGGGCGGCGTGTCCCCTGACAACTCCATCGAACACTCAGACTATCGCAGCAAACTTGCCCAGATCCGCCACATCTACCACTCGGAGCTGGAGAAGTATGAGCAGGTGAGGAGAGGAGGCTGGAGTAGGTGGAGGGAGAGGCTCTTGGGGGGAATCCCAGACCCAAAGGGCTCCTCCTCACAACCCACCGGCCCCCACTGCAGGCATGTAACGAGTTCACAACCCACGTCATGAACCTGCTGAGGGAGCAGAGCCGCACGCGGCCCGTGGCACCCAAGGAGATGGAGCGCATGGTGAGCATCATCCATCGAAAGTTCAGCGCCATCCAGATGCAGCTCAAGCAGAGCACTTGCGAGGCCGTCATGATCCTGCGTTCCCGCTTCCTGGATGCCAGGTGGGGCCCAGGGGCCCAGGCTGGCCCCCAGCACTGGACTCCTTCCCATTCTCCGAGGCCCTGCCAGAACACCAACGTCCTCACCACCTTTCTCCCTTTTCTGCAGACGAAAACGCCGTAACTTCAGCAAACAGGCCACTGAGGTCCTAAATGAGTACTTCTACTCCCACCTGAGTAACCCATATCCTAGTGAGGAGGCTAAGGAGGAGCTTGCCAAGAAGTGCGGAATCACCGTCTCGCAGGTATTGGGGGAGGCTTGGGGAGAAGGAAATTTCAGGCAAAAAGCTCTCATATCCTACTGACTGAGGGGCTTTCAGAGGGAAAGGTTTCCAACTGACCCTCCTTTCTGCCCAACACTCCACAGGTCTCCAACTGGTTTGGCAACAAGCGGATTCGCTATAAGAAAAATATTGGAAAGTTCCAAGAGGAGGCAAACATCTATGCCGTCAAAACCGCCGTGTCTGTCACCCAGGGGGGCCACAGCCGCACCAGCTCCCCAACACCCCCTTCCTCCGCAGGTGGATCCCGCTGCCACCCTGGCTGGCTGTTTTGCACACTTCCTGCTTTTGTTCCCACTTCCTGTCTAGTCAGGATCATAGCAGAGACGGGGCCTTTTGGGGTGAGAGGGACCAGGCTGAGATGAGATGGGGATGTCGGGGGACAGAGGCCATTCCAAAAAAGTTACTTCTGCCTTTGTTCCAGCAAGCGCCCAGGGGAGGCTCAGAAACAGCCTGCTGCTTCTGAGTGTTGAAGTGTTATTTTGTGAATAATTTGCGGGTAGTGGCACACCCCCTTAGAGCTAGGTCAGAGGGCTTTTTGGAAACTGAGAGCTGTGGTGAGTCTCCTGTCTGCCATCACAGGCTCTGTTATACTCTTCCCCTATTCCCTCTCTGCTCCCTCAAGGCTCTGGTGGCTCTTTCAATCTCTCAGGATCCGGAGACATGTTTCTGGGGATGCCCGGGCTCAACGGAGATTCCTACTCTGCTTCCCAGGTCAGGTGACCCATCTCCCCTTGAGTAGGGCTTTCCCAAATTTGGTTTCCCTCCCTTCAGGATACAGGACTTTTTTCTTTTGAGGCTTCTCACTGGGGCATACCCTCCTTTGCTGCCTGCAGGTGGAATCACTCCGGCATTCAATGGGGCCAGGGGGCTACGGGGATAACCTCGGGGGAGGCCAGATGTACAGCCCTCGGGAAATGAGGGTGAGTGGATACCTGAAGCCCCCCCCCCACCTCTCACCAGGACAGGAGGGCCTTTTCCCTGGCAGTACTCTCCCCAAAACTGGGTTTCCCAGAGCCCTATGCCAACTGTCTCTCTCTTTTCCCAGGCAAATGGTGGCTGGCAGGAGGCTGTGACCCCATCCTCAGTCACATCCCCAACAGAGGGACCAGGGAGCGTTCACTCTGACACTTCCAACTGATCTCGCCCCTCAGGGCCACAGGGGTATGGGGCTCACAAGGCGACTCTTGAAGAGGACGCAGGCATCCAGAGGACAAACCCCAGACACAGGAGAAGCACAAGACAGAGAAGGGCAAATGGGGTTGTCCCCTCCCCCACCAAACTCTCAGTGCTGGGGGTGCTGATTACATGGCGGGAAGAATGGGGTCCCCTAAGGGGATAGTGGGGTCTGTCTCCCCCTTTTCTCCTTTTCTTTCTCCCTTTCTTGCATAGAAACACACCTATTTTTCAGATCCCTTTCTCTTCCCTTCCTCTCTATCTCATATACACACACATACAACTATTCTGTTTCTCTCTCTCTCTCTGGGCTCCCCCATCTCCCTCCCCCACCCCACTTATCTGCTCTGGGATCTGTGGAGACGCCAGCCCTGCCTGACCAGAGATGCCAAAAATGGGGACACAACTTCTGGACAGAGGACATGGGCCACGCCCCTGTGCCTCCCCACCCCCCGCCCCTCCAGACGGCTTTATTACCTCATACGCAGCTCATCTTAAACCAATAGAATCGCTCGGTGGACGAGAGTGTCTGACTCAGATATCTACCTCGGAGGGAGTTTCTGCTACTTTAGGGAATTGTTGACTGGGCTTTGGGGTTGAACTTTTTTTTTTTTTTTTTTCAAGGAAAGAAAAAGAAACCCTGGGATCCATCTGTATTTTTTTGATTTTTTTGTTTTGTTGTTGTTGTTGGTTCTTAAATTTTTAATTTAGTCTGGGGAAGTAGATGTTTTTATAAATATGTTGATCTCTTTTTTTTTTTTGATTTCTTGCTTTCCCATATTAGGGGTGATAGCCAAAGGGGTCAAGATAAGAGAAGGGGGAACAAATAGAACTGGTGAAGAGGCCCACCTGGCTCCCCTCCTGTCCATCAGGAAGTACATTTAGCAGGACACCAAGCCTGCCCCCCTACAATCACCTAGGTGTTCTCCTTTGCTTGTAAACCAGGTGTTCCTTGCTTGTGCAGGCAGCTTCCTGCTGCATCTGGTGTGGAGGCAGTTGGGCTTGCTCTGCTGGCCTATCCTCCCTCTTCCCACAACCCTTGGGCAGGGCTGGACTCGGTAATTTTGAGGAAATGCCACCTTCCCCTATGAGTGACACATCTTTAAATCTTTTTGTTTTAACTACTATTTGCAGATTGGAGGGGGAAGAATGGGGAGGGGGTTATTGCCAAATATGTTCAATATGGGTTGGGGTGCTTGTGTTTGTATCTTCCTCAATTTCCCCAGAAATGAGGTATCTTTTTTTCTCAGTCCAAAATCAAGAGGGTGGGGAGAGAGAGGAGGGAGGTTGCAAAAGCCAGGTATGGGGGAAAGTAAAATCACCACTGTCCCATCCTTGGCCCTGAGCCCTACCATCTGAACCCCTCAAACATCCTCAGGATTTTACAAGACTGTCATAGTGGGGAACCCCTCCCGTCAAAGATCCGAGCAGGATTGTGGGGGCAGGTTGGGAGTGTGATGGGTGGGGGGTGGGAGGCATGGGCTGGGGGCAGTTCTCTCCTCACTTGTAAACTTGTAGTTTCACAGAAAAAAATGCAGTTTTAAATAAAGAAATTTCTTTTTTCCCTGGGTTTAGTTGAGAATTATTTTCAAAAACATGAGGAACCCTAGAAAAAAATATTTTTCTCTCAGAAAGCCCCAAACAGGTTTTCCCCAAGTCCCCCAGCCTTGCCCTCACCACCCAGGCCCCACGTTTCACCCTTGCCTCCTCTCCACAGAAACAGCCTGGCCTGATCCCTGTTGCCTAGCAACCTTGCCTAATAGAGATGGGGCTCCAGTGGTCCATGAGGCAGCCCTCTGCAGGCTCATGGAATAGGTTGGGGGTCTTGAGGGGATGAGAGACCCTAGAAGGTGTACTCCCCACCCCCATGGATGTGGCTGTACCCAGAGGCTGGCAGTGCCCAGGGGTGGGGTGATAATTGTTTCTCCTGGTACCTGAAGGACTCTTATCCGAGTGGCATGAATTCCTAGCATTCCCTGTGACTGGACAAGATGAGGAGATGGGGGCAGGGGGCAGGAAGGAGGGAGCAAGCCCTTCCTAGGGCGGTGGCCACAGCAGTGAGAGGGGCAGACAGAACCAGGAGCCTGGGCAGGAAGCAGGATGGCAGCAGGGGCAGCGGCCGGAGCCTGGGTGCTGGTCCTCAGTCTGTGGGGTGAGCCACTCCCCCCCAAACCAATCCTCCCTGCAGAAAGCACACCACGTCCCCGCCAAATCTCCCCAGAACTTTCCTGGAACCTGGGCACTGCTTTTCAAGCTACCTCACCTACCCTGTCCTAGTTTTATTAGCCCCCATCTCCCTTCCTGCCCCTCTACTGTGGTACTGTCTCCCAGGGGCAGTAGTCGGCAGTCAAAACATCACAGCCCAGATCGGGAAGCCACTGGTGCTCAACTGTAAGGGGGCTCCCAAGAAACCACCCCAGCAGCTGGAATGGAGACTGGTAAGCAGGGCTCTTGTTGCAACCTTTCCACTTCTGGAGAGACTAGTGACTATCTGCATCCCCACCCCCCTGCCTCGTCAGTGCCTTCCCAAAGGGCTTGCGCTGTTTAGGACCCTCTCCTCTGTCCGCAGAATACAGGCCGAACAGAGGCTTGGAAGGTCCTGTCTCCCCAGGGAAGCCCCTGGGATAGTGTGGCTCGTGTCCTCCCCAACGGCTCCCTCCTCCTGCCTGCTATTGGGATCCAGGACGAGGGGACTTTCCGATGTCGGGCAACGAGCCGGAATGGAAAGGAGACCAAGTCCAACTACCAAGTCCGAGTCTACCGTAAGGGTTCCAGGGCCTTCTCTAAGGCCCACCCCTCAACTAAGGAAAAGCCTTCAACCCCAGCCCTACTCCTTGGCCCTGGTGTGAGAGCCTCTGACTTCGGCTGCCCTCATTCCCAGGAGTGAGAATCTTCAAAGCTGCAGCCTCTGATTGGATTTTTCCCTCCTTCAGAGATTCCTAGGAAGCCAGAAATTCTTGATCCTGCCTCTGAACTCATGGCTGGTGTCCCCAATAAGGTAGTGGAAGAAAAGGGGAGAGGTAGAAAGTGGTCCTGAGAACGGGAGGGGAGTGTAGCTGTGTGTATGTGTATGGAGTCTCTTATTTTCAAATGATGATGAGGTCACTCTTTCCTCAGGTGGGGACATGTGTGTCCAAGGGGAGCTACCCGGCAGGGACTCTTAGCTGGCACTTGGATGGGAAACCCCTGATACCTGATGGGAAAGGTGAGTCTAAAAGGTCCCCCCTCCTAACTGCTTCCTTTCTGATCCCTCTCCCACACCCACCCTGGGATGTCTTACCTTGTCCTCCCCATACCATAGGACTGTCTGTGAAGGAAGAGACCAGGAGACATCCTGAGACAGGGCTTTTCACACTCCAGTCAGAGCTGATGGTGACCCCAGCCCGGGGAGGAGATCCTCGCCCCACTTTCTCCTGTAGCTTCAGCCCTGGCCTTCCCCGGCGCCGAGTCCTGCACACAGCCCCCTTCCAGCTCAGTGTCTGGGGTGAGCACAGAGGTGGGGAGGGCCCCAAGCTCGGGGGAGCACATTCTGAAAGTATGGCTCTCAGGGAGGGAAGGGTTAAGGCCCTGCACTGGGACCACACATAGGTGTAACTCGCAACCTCATGCCCCTGCCCACCCCCAGAGCCTGTGCCTCTGGAGGAGGTCCAGCTGGTGGTGGAGCCAGAAGGTGGAGCAGTAGCTCCTGGTAGTACTGTGACCCTGACCTGTGAAGCCCCTGCCCAGCCCCCTCCTCAAATCCACTGGATCAAGGACGTGAGTTAATCTGGAGAGAGGGGGCTGGGAGGTAGAGAGATACATAATTGGCACCTAGGTGGGCAGGGGGCTCGTGGAGAGAAAGGCATGTGAGGAGCTGGGGAGGAAGGCAGGCTATCTGCGGATATGGAGACAAAAAGACAGGAGTATGGGATGTGTGGACAGGGGTTGTTAATAGTCTCCTGTCCACCTTCCCCCACCAGGGCACACCCCTGCCCCTTCCCCCCAGCCCCGTGCTGCTTCTCCCTGAGGTAGGGCCTCAGGACCAGGGCACCTACAGCTGTGTGGCCACCCATCCCAGCCAGGGGTCCCAGGAAAGCCGTGCTGTCAGCATCAGCATCATTGGTGAGGAGACCTCTCCAAATCCCAGGGACCCCAGGGCTGGGCTGAGGGACATTGTGGGCTCCAATTCCCCACCCTACTCTGGCATTGTCCCAAGAGCCACCCCACCCCTCCCTCAGTGTACCCACACCCAGGCCTCCTCTGCCCCACCCAAACCTTACCAAGAGAGCAGCCCAACCTGTCCCTTCTCCCCTCCCCACTGAAGAAAGTGCAAGACTCCACTGGGGCTCCCACTAAACAGCCCTCTCCCAATTGAAACCTTCCCTTCTGACTTGCTCTGACTTTGTTTTTCAGAAACAGGCGAGGAGGGGTCAACTGCAGGTGAGGGGTTGGATAAGGTCAGAGAGAAGCAGACAGACCTCAACATGACTGGGAGGATGGCTGACAAGAAAGGAATGGTGAGTGGTGGGGGCTGTGCCGTCAATTCTCCCCATCTCTCTACAGGCTCTGTGGGCGGGCCGGGGCTGGGAACTCTAGCCCTGGCCCTGGGGATCCTGGGAGGCCTGGGGATGGCCGCCTTGCTCATCGGCGTCATCATGTGGCGAAGGCGACAACACCGAAGAGAGGAGCGGTGAGTGGAGAAAGCCAGACACCTCAGACTTGGGGCTTCCAGTCAGCAAGCAAGGGTGTGGGGGAGGAATGACAGAGTGCTGGGAACCGTGTGCAGAATTGTCCCCAATCCTCCTCCCCAGGAAGGCCCCAGAAAACCAGGAGGAGGAGGAGGAGCGTGCAGAGCTGAATCAGTCAGAGGAGCCAGAGGCAGCCGAGAGCAGTGCAGGAGGGCCCTGAAGGGCCCACAGCTCGACCCCATCTGTCAGTTCCCTTTTGTTTTTCCTACACTCCGTTCTGACCCCAGACCAATTCTCCCCTGTACAACATCTATCCCACCTCACCAAACTGTCTTCCACAGCCAGAGCCTCCCACAGTGATGAGTAAACACCTGACACATTTTGTCCCATTTGCTCTTGTGTGTGTATGTGACCCCCTCACCCCCTGCACCCTTGAGAGCCTTGGAGAGGCACTCACCCCCACACTTGCCCACACCATGCCAAACATCTACTCAAGTTGAGGAGAAGATGCTCCTGTCCTGGAAGGAAGGAGGGAAGGACAAAGGTGGGCAGAGTTCCCATCAATACATCTCACCTTGTTTATTAAATTTGTAATAAAGGAGGTAGTGAGGGGAAGGAAGCACTTCGAGTCAGAACCCATATTAGACACTGGGAAGAGGAAAATTAAATTAAATCAACGAGGGGGAAGAGGGGGAGAGTCAGAGAGAGGCTTGCCCACCTTTCAGTATCAAATCAAGAAATGTGGGGGAAAGCAAAGGATCAGGAGAGAGGAGAAGCAAACATTCTCTTCAGTCCATCCTCCTCTCCCAGAGCCGGGAGTTATGATCTACTGAGTGAGCAGTTCAGAGCAGAAGGTTCTCGCATCCTATGCACAGATGTCACTCCTCCTGCCCACGGTCCTGGAGAGTGGCCGGGGTGGGCCTTGGCCAACAGAAATGGAGGGGTTGGGGGGGAGGGTCCAGGAGTAAGGAAGGGTCAGCAGGGACCCCCAATACTGATTCTCCTCTAGCTGGAGGTGGGCAAGGAGACACAGCTCAAATACTGAGCAGCCAGAAAAAGAAGAAAATGGCGAGAAACAGGAAGAGAGAGTCCTGCCAGCTGGAAGCCGGGTGACCCTGTCCCAGATCCACACCTGTGGGAGAGAGGAGAGCAGAAGAAGCATCCACTCCTAGGCCTGGAGGGGGACTGAGGGGATCCAGAGGGCTCCCTGGTAGAGGCTGAAGGAAGGCTCTTACCTGTACCCCGGCGGAATGGCTCATGGGCATTGAAGACGGTGGTGAAAAAGCCGAAGGGAAAAGCACCGACACCAAATGAGAAGTGAAAGCCCCCGGTATCACCAAATGGCTGGAATCCCTAGGGAGGTGGAGAAAGTCAGAGGGGAATTGGGGAAGTCTTTGGCAAGGAAGGAACACAATCAGACAAGACTCACCCCTCTGCTCTCTGGAGCGGGTCGCTGGCCCTGGGGGCGGGGTGGAGTTTTCAATCTGAGGAAGAGAAGGACTGTCAACAGGAAATGTTCTCTCCTCTTCCACATCCCTCTCCCAGGGCAGAAGCCGTCCACCTTCCCTCAGCACCATCTCCCTCCTCTCTCTCACCTGGGATCCTGGGGCTTCTGGCTCCCTCGCCCATAAAGGGGGACAACCTTTTCTCTGCTGATCCCAGCTTTACACACTGGGCACTCTTGCCGCTCTGGCCGTGTCTCCAGCCACTGGGGGAATAAAATGAAGTGGATTCCAGTACACAGCAGGGTCTTCCAGCTCCTCAGAGCTCCCCATTTCCCTCTTCATCTCCTCTGTGTACGCACCTGATGAAGACAGGGCCAACTGGATGGGGGGGAAAAAAAAAGGTCAAACTAGCTACAGAAAAGAGAGACACAGACCCAACCTCACAGACGCCCATCTCTCGTCCCTTTGTCCCAAGTATTACCTGCTGTTGCTTTTCATATTTTCCACAACCTCTACCATGCCAGCCAACCTGGCCTTCCTGCTTCTCTGATCTTCCAACACCTAAAGCTACATCCATCTTCAACATGCGCAACCCTCTCCTCTTGCCTCTCTCCCAACACACACAAACACACACACACGCATCCTCATCCCCTCCCTTCTCTGCCTTTTAACTTAATTTCTGGTTCTCTTCAACCACACCTTTCCAGATCTCCCCTTTCAGTCCCAGCCCCAGCCCCATCCTTGCCTCCATCACTCCCAAACCAAAACCCTCTACTAGCACCTTCCTCCACTACTCCTTTTCCTCTCTTCCACACCCAATCAAGTCCCTCTTCCCACAGCCCTTTAACCTCTCAAGGCCCTTGTCCTTAGGTCTGCCATTCCACCTCCTCCCATCTCTCACCTCAATGTGAGCCCACGTTCCCTAGGTCTCCCCCACTCAACTGATGCGTGCCTCCCCTATCCTTTGAGTCTAATCCGTTTCCACCGGTACAGCTAAGACCTCTCACTTCCCCGGGGTAAGGCGACTCAGGTCTCACCTGTACAGAAGCGCAGTGCCCACCTACCCCCGCCCCACTTCGTCTTAACACACCATACGCCCCTGCCTCTAGTTCCTATGACTCTCCTTTCCACAGGTCTCATCTTTACAGACGTGACCGTCCTGCCCATACCTGAAAAGACTTATGTCCCCTCCTCGAGCCTCACCTATGGGGATGTGACCTCCGATTGTATGTATGACTGTATGGTCCCCTGGCCCCCAGCCTCCCCAGTAAGGAGATGAGTGAGCCCCACTCCTTTTCGCCCCCTCCCCCATTCTCACCAGTACAGGTGGCCACACACACTGACCACAGCTTCGCGAGCAGTCTCCAGACATATATTACATTCGAAGGTCGCGCCCGCCCCGCCCCGCTCGCGGTTTGGCCCTTCGGGGACCCCGTCTTCCTCCTCCGCTGCTGCCATGGCCGCTTCTATTTCGCCCCCGCGTACCCCTTAGTCGCCGAAAACACACATACACACGCCGCGACAAACGAAAAGCCACCTCCTGCCCACGATCGTTGGGTAGGCTTCAAGGTTTTTAGGTCACGATTGGTCTGAATGACTGCCAATCACACAGGATTCAAAAGAACGGATTGGTCCAAAGAGTACGGGCGGAAAGAGGTGCGCGCAGTCCTGCCCTTGCACAATGACTATTGGCTGATTCAGTCGCAGTCAGGATGCGACGCCAGGAGATTGGTAACAACTCCATATGTCCTGTCGCCCGGCCTGGGAGGGCTTTATTCGTCCGAGTAGCTGCCAGTCATAACCAAAGGCCAGAAGCAATTGGTTAGGGACTACATAGACCTCGCCCATTATAAGCCCCTTTCTTTCTTTCACTTCCTCTTTCAGAGAATGTTCGGATTCCTATTGGACTTTGGAGCGTATGGCTTCAAAGCAATTGATTGGCTAGAACTCGACGGAAAATGGTGGTTGGGTAAAATGCGCGTGCGCAGCGGGCGGCGGGAAGGGGTGGGCCAATCCTAGAAGGTCCCACCTTCTCTGGTCCCACCCCTTCACCTCTAGCTTGTCGCCATCGTGACTGCTTTACAATTGGCGGGGTTTGGGGTTCAAAGGCCTCGGCTCGGTCTCATCCGGGTCCTCCGGCTGTGGTCTCTCTCGGCTGATTGGGCCGTTTCTTTCGCCCCTGATTGGCCGAGATCGGGAAAGACGGAGAGAAGTTCGGAAAAGAGGGCAAATACTAGGGTCGCAGGGTTCAAAATGGCTCCGGCCTCCCTCGGTGACGTAGAGAGCAGAATTTGGGTCCGCCCCTCCCTCTTAGTGAAGAAGGGAGCAGAACTGGGATTAGCCCGACGTTTGGATGGTGCGAGCATCGATCTGCGGCGCTGGTGTTAACCCACCTCCCTCGGCTGGACGACTCAGCCCGCCCCTTTTTAGGTGATTTACAGAGCAGAACTGAACGAAAGGCCCACCCCCTTTTTAACGTCACACAGAACAGAGTTGACCTCGACCCCGTTTTAAAAAAAAAAAGGGTTAGCTCCACCCCTTTGTGAGTGGGTGCAGAAGGGGCAAGGTCCGCCCCTTTTTAGGCGACCCGCGGTGGAATGGGGTTAGACCCGCCCCTTCCTTGTGCCCAGCAGCACTGGGGTCTTCATCCTGGGCTGGACCCCTGGGACTTGAGCAAGCTGCTTCAGAGTTTGGGCCTTTCGTACGAGTCTGGGCCTTTTCTACAGTCACTGACCCTCACTGTGGCCCAAGGAGCAGAACTAGGTAACAGTCCTCCCACTACCAGTGTTCTTTACATTCTCTTCCTTCAGGACCTGTAAACTCACGCAGAGCAAAGGTGTGCCCGGGGGTGGGGCGCAGCCACGGGATGAGGGCTGGTCAGCAACACCCTGATAAAAGGCCCTACGTGACTCAGCTGAGGCAAGATGAGAAGTTGGGAGTTGCCTAGAGGAGGTTAGGAGAGGTGAGAGTTTAGGAGACTTGAAGAGGTGGAGGAAAAAAGTTATTGAGAGGGAGAGGCGCTGGAATGGTCCTGGTAAAAGGATAATGGGAGTATGGGGAAGAGGGGAACGGGCTGGAGGGGGAGCTAGATACATGGCTACACAATTAAGGAAGCAAGCTTATCCCAGAGGGATCAGTATTCTTCCTCACCTTTTTTTTTCAAGGAAGCAACCCTAATACCCAATTTCTATTGAAAGAAAAGATGCGACCGAATTCTATGTTGGGCAGAGGGGTTGGTTCAGCTTGGGTGAGTAAGGAGACTGATAGGAAGAAACTAGGAAAGAATAAGTACTGAGGTCAAAAAGCATGGAAGGACAGGGGCAGGGAGAGAGGGAGCCTGCGAGTATACCTTCTCTTTAAAGACCAGAGAGGGGGTGGGGAGACCTGGACTGCTGGGAGATAGTAGGGGGGGACAAAGGGCAAAGAGACCAGATAAGAGGGCTGGAGGGTACGGTGGGTGAGATGGGGTTCTGGAGAGAAAAAGATGAGAGGTGAAGAACTCAGTGTTTGGCATATAGTGGGTGCTTGATAAATACTGGAACTGAATGGGGGACAGGAAAGGGGGTCTTGGAGAAGAGTTGGAGGGAATAAGCAGCAGATATGGGAGTTAAGAACAGAACAAAAGTGGCAGTAAGAGGAGAGCTGATGGAGAAAGAGAAGAAGTGGGCCGAGGAAGGAATACAGCACCAAGGGACACTCAAGCCGTGTGTGCTGAAAGGGAGTTGGAGAAAAAAAGATGCAGCTGGAGCCAGAAAGGGTCAGAGACAGAGGCTGAGCCCAGCTGAGCTCTCGTGGGGCGGAGCTAGCCAAAGGAGACTGATAAAAGTGGGGAGAAGATGCTTGGGTCCCTGGGAGGCGATTGGCAGAATAAGCCGCCCATCACCGCCCCTTACTTCCTGGCCAGCCCCGGAAACCTGCAGGCGTGGGGAGGGGTGGGGGGATAGCGGCAGCAGCAGACCCAGCCCTCAGAGAGACAGCAGGAAGGGAGGGAGGGAGCTGAGGGGAGAACCCCACACCGTTCCTACCGCTATGGGCCCAGCCTCCCACTCTCACCTCCCCTCCATCGGCCGGGGCTAGGACACCCCCAAATCCTGTCGCCCCCTTGGCGCCGACACCCCGACCGAGGCAGAGACACAGCCACCCGCCACCACCGCTGCCGCAGCCTGGCTGGGGAGGGGGCCAGCCCCCCAGGCCCCCCACCCCACTGAGGTGGGGGCGGGAAAGGGATGGGAGGAGGAGGGAGGATGGTGCTGAAAGGGACGTGGAGGAGGGGGTGGGGGAGAGATTGGGTCTGGGAGGGCCGACTGGGGAGAGGATGTTGCTGGGAAAGGAAAAGGATGAGGGCCGACTGGGGAGAAGGTTGCTGGGGAAAGGAGAGGGGGCCTGAGAGGAAGGATGGAAGAGACACAAGAGGGAGGAGTGATGGAGACCCTGTGAGTTTGGGATAGGGGTGGGGACAGGGAATCCTGGAGAGGGAATTCTCCACACATTCCCCAATTCCTTTTCTTGCCCTTTGGCCCCACTGACTCTTGGGGGGTTGTGGTGGGGAGAACGTGGTTTATTGCCCTCCTTCCCCCAGCAGAATTTGCTTCCTAGGACTGCCCTCAGACATTTCTGTTTCCAGCTAGCCAGAGAACCTCTTATTTCTCAGTGGCCTTCCACACTGTGCTAGACCCTTACTGACACACAGATGCCTTGTGGGGGCCATGTTTTCTACACTGAGTCGGTGCGCCTTTGACATGTTTAATGGCCAGGTTATCCCTGTGCTATCCATGGGCAGTGGAGAAATGATGTTCTTTTCCATCAGAATTGCTCATTCTCATATCTTATGTTCATGTCTCATGTCCAGTCTTGACATGTTCAAGTGTGTGAGTTTTCATATATTGCATCTATTATGTGGTTTCATGTTTCTTGCACATTTTATGTTTTTGCATATTTACTTTAGTGTGTAAAGATTATACCTTATTTTGTTTAGGCTCACATGTGCATGGTCCCACCATGTAATATAGTCTTCATGGATGGGATCCTGTGACTTAGTGGACTATCGCACACTCATGTTGTGATGGGATTGGCCTCTTTGCTGTATGTTTTTCCCAGTCATGGTTCACACCACACATAAGCGTGCTTCGCATGATGCACTGTGACACATCCATAGCATGTGTACTTCTGGTTACATGTAATATTTATTTCATAATTTTATTGGCAATATATTTTGTGAGCCGTGTGCTCATTAACCCATTTGGCACTCCATTGTGTTTATAAATCCTTGGACATTTCTGCTCTGGAGAGGGTCATTTAATAACACGTATTGGAGAAAGTAACTGGGCCTCCAAGTCCGCAGAGAACCATCCCGTATGCCTTACCTTGCTGACCTCTCTGGCCTGTGTCTCTTCACGCACATTACCTCTTCAGTGGCTGTGTACTGTCTGTGTCCGTGGAGCTCAATGCAAGCCACAGGGCAGCCCTGCCACGCACATTATCTGTCCCTGACTCTGCACTGTTGGCATGTATTTGATGACAGCAGCATCTTTCCCCTGTGGCATGTTGATCCCTATTCTATATGTTTCTCTTGTTTGGGAGGTGGTAGGTCCCGTCTTGATTGTTGTCGCACTGCCTTCACTGTGGTGGTGTATTGTCTGCGTATATTCAGAGTAAGTTACTATTAGGCTTCGTGTGTTGGTTGCTTTCTCGGTGCCTTTTCTTTTCATAGTTAATAGTCCTCAAGAGGGTAGCTATCTGATTCGTGATCAGATATGTGTCATTAATTATGGCTCTATGGATATGCGTACAGCCTTATAATCGGTCCAGCAAATGTTTATTGAGAGCCTTCTCTGCCTCCTTCTTTCCTGGGCACTAGGGATAAGATAGCATCCCTGTCCTCAAGCTGCTTACAGACTAGGAAGGGAAACAAAAATGCCACTAAGCAGTTACACACAATATGGTGTCAAGATCCATGGTTTACAAATTCATGTGCACATCAGACTTACCTGAAGGGCTTGTTAAAATACAGATTAATGAATTTCTGATTCAGGAGATCTGGGTGAGGGCCAAGAATTTTCATTTCTACACTTTGAGAACGAGTAGTCAAGATAAAATTGTAATGAAAACTCAGGCCCCTGGGAATTCAGGAAGACTTCCAAAAAGTGACGCTGAGCTGTGTGAGGCAAGAGAAGAAGAGGCGGAAGGGCATTCCAACCAAAGGGAACAGCATGTTCACAGCACAGAAGCATGAAAGATCACTGTGTGTGTAAGAAACTGAAGCAAAAAAGGCTTTTATGGGGATGTGGCCAAGGGTGTAAGCAGAAGTCAGCTTGTCAAGAAGGGCCTTTAGGCAAGGCAGGGAAATGCTCGGATTTGTGTACAGAAAAATCTCTGTGGTTGCTATGTGGAAGAGGGATTGGAGGGGAAGAGTTAGGAGCTGGTGTCAACTTGCAGGGGTAGTGGGACAGAGCAGCCCAGAAAGCTGACCGCTTCAGAGCTGGCAGGGGCTCCTGGTTCCTCTGTCGCCTGTTACCTTCACCCTTGGCAGTGAGCTTACCTTTGAGCACAGACCTTCCTGTCACTGGAAGGGAGTACCTGTGGCCTTGTTGGGAGCGACAGGTGTTTGCCTGAACACCCTTTTTGTGATTGTGATCCTGCTTCCAGCAGTGGGGCAGAGTGGAGGAAGGAGGAAGAGCCGAGAAGGTTGGTTCCTGCATGACTGCACCTCTTCCTCCTAAGCTCATTCCTCGCCCAGGGCAGGTGGGTGATGTCCCTTTTACTCTGCCCTCATTTTTTCACTTATTGAGGCTTCACACACTGTCCCTGCCTGACCAAATTGCCTCCAGCGTTGTTGGAAGGGCGAGAAGGGGGCGGTAGGATTTGTTTGCCTGTCTGGAGGCAGGATTGATGGATGTAGCTACTTCTGGTATGTCCATGGGTTTATCTGGGAATAGGGGCGGCTGCTTGGGTGGAGAGGGGTTTTTCTAGGTATGTGTGTACATTTCTTTATCTGTCACTGGATGTGATTGTAAATCTGTGTATGTGTATAAACAGGTCAGTCTTTGTATGACTGTGTGTGTCTGTGTTTGCATTAGTGACAAAGCCTTTTTTCTTGCCAGTGAGCCCTTGAGAATGTCTGTGGGTGTTTTGTCACTGTCACTGTGTCTGCTGTGTGCTGTATGTACTCATACATATATACATACAAGCGGCATTGTGACCAAGTGGTTAGGAGCACAAGCTGTTAGATTCAAGCTAGGAATTGCCTCTTAGGAGCTGTATGACCTCAGGTAAGTTATTTAACCTCTCTGGGCCTATTTCCTATAAAATGTAAGTTATGTGGATCATATTTAAGGGTTTAACATAGTATATAGACCAGCCCTGTCCCACAGAAATATAATGCGAGCCACATATATAATTTTTAATTTTCTGGTAGCTACATCAAGAAAGATAAAAAGTGAAATTAATTTTTTTTTTTTTTTGTGAGGAAGATCAGCCCTGAGCTAACATCCATGCTAATCCTCTTTTTGCTGAGGAAGACCGGCTCTGAGCTAACATCTATTGCTAATCCTCCTCCTCTTCTTTTTTTTTCCGCCAAAGCCCCAGTAGATAGTTGCATGTCATAGCTGCACATCCTTCTAGTTGCTGTATGTGGGCCGCGGCCTCAGCATGGCCAGAGAAGCAGTGTGTCCGTGCGCGCCCAGGATCCGAACCCGGGCCGCCAGTAGTGGAGCGCGCACACTTAACCGCCAAGCCACAGGGCCGGCCCATAATTTTAATAATATATTGTATTGAACCTAGTATCTCCAAAAAGTTATAATTTCAAAATGTAATCAATATAAAAGATTAAAGTGATGTTTTACATTCTGTTTTTTGTTCCAAGTCTTTGAAATCTGATATTGTACTGCCAACACCTCTCTCTTCGGACTAGGGCACATTTCAAGTGCTCAGTAGCCACATGTGGCTGGTGGCTACTGTAGTGGATAGCACAGGTATAGACCATCATAAGACCCTTACCAGCTACAAGTGTTAGCTATCATTGTCTTTTTATTGTCGTGTATCTGTGAGTTGTGGATGTCCACGTCTCGTGTCTCTTGTCTGTCTGAATATATCTGGAGCCTTTGGGGAGAGGGGTGGGAGAGCAGACCCAAGCTCCCACCCCCACCACTCCCATCCTAGAGAGCTTTCCTGGGTAGGTTTCGATGGAAGCACTGACCCCATACTGTGTCTCTGGCTCTTGTCCTCATAGCCCCCCAAACTCTGCCTTCTGCACCTTGCCCACCCTGCTCCCCTCCAGGAACCAGGCCCACTGTCCCTTGGCCTGTCCCCTGCAGGTGGCCAGAATGGAGCTGTGGCCAGGGGCGTGGACGGTGCTGCTGCTGCTCTCCCTGCTGCTGCTCTTCCTGCTGCCCGCCCTGTGGGTCTGCAGCCCCAGTGCCAAGTACTTCTTCAAGATGGCCTTCTACAATGGCTGGATCCTCTTCCTGGCTGTGCTCGCCATCCCTGTGTGTGCCGTGCGAGGACGCAACGTTGAGAACATGAAGTGAGGGGCAAGGGATGTTGGGTGATGAGGGAACGTAAGGGTCAGAAGTCAGCAGAGGATGGAGAGGGCATGGGGTGTGTGGGAGAGACTGAGAGAGCCCGGGGACAAGGAAGGGGAGAGGACTGCAAAGATGCCCAGAAAAACAGTAGGGTAGGGGAGCTGAAGCATGCAGGTGGACGTCAGGGCATCTTGCCAGAACCCCTTGCCATGACCCCACAGGATCTTGCGTCTGATGCTGCTCCACATCAAATACCTGTACGGGATCCGAGTGGAGGTGCGAGGGGCTCACCACTTCCCTCCCTCACAGCCCTACGTCGTTGTCTCCAACCACCAGAGCTCCCTCGACCTGCTTGGTGAGACCCCTCCGTAGAGCACACCACCCCCGGCCATGCCCTTCCTCCTGGAACCTTCCCCAAAATCTCCTCCCCTAGAGATCTTCACCTCCCCTTCGTCTGGGATGTTGCCCCTTTGCTCCCTTTCCAGGCCTTCTTTCCCTGGGGCAGAGCTGCCCTCATAAGCAGGGTAATATACCTTTAGTCACCCTTTCTTCCACTCAAGGCTTCCCCACCCCCTCCCCCAGTTTCCCTCCTCCTTTATCTCCAGTCCGTAGTGGTGTGAGTGATGACCTAGGCCAGGTGGGCTGCCTCCTGTGGCACTCTGCCTCCACCCTGATCCTCATCCCACTCTGCCCCAAGGGATGATGGAGGTTCTGCCTGGCCGCTGTGTGCCGATTGCCAAGCGTGAGCTACTGTGGGCCGGCTCTGCCGGGCTGGCCTGCTGGCTGGCAGGAGTCATCTTCATCGACCGGAAGCGCACTGGGGATGCCATCAGTGTCATGTCTGAGGTGGCCCAGACCCTCCTTACCCAGGACGTGAGTCACCGTGGGGAAATGGGGATGGCAGGTTATGGAGTAGAACAGTTGTAAATAAACTGATATGCAGGGCCTCAGAGGTCCCTTTACAGCACCACACCCTTTTCTGACCCCTCCATATATGTGTGTCTTCCTTGACCCTCTTTCTTCCCCAGGTCCGAGTCTGGGTTTTCCCCGAGGGCACAAGAAACCACAATGGCTCCATGCTGCCCTTCAAACGCGGCGCCTTCCACCTTGCAGTGCAGGCCCAGGTGGTTACTACCCCCTACTTCTGCTGCTGAGCCCCCAGCCCTCCCCCATCCCTTCCTCTCGGCAGAGGCTTGTCATGGGGGTCTCAGAAGGGAGCAGTGGGCTGATCCATTTTTCCCCTTCCCCAGGTTCCCATTGTCCCCATAGTCATGTCCTCCTATCAAGACTTCTACTGCAAGAAGGAGCGCCGCTTCACTTCTGGTGAGGGCTCGGAGCAGATCCAGGGTTGGTGGTGGCCAAAAAGGCCATGGGAGAGGCTGGAGGGATGTCCCCACGAGGCAAGAGGATCAGTCAGTGTCAGAACTGTGAGATGTCCACAGGATCACCTAGTGTGACCCCCCCATAAGTATTTATTAAGCACCTGCCATACCCTGCTAGGTGGGTAACAATGGTGCCTGCTAGGAGGCACACTTGGAGGTGTGCCTCCAAGAGGAACCATTACTGTCTGGTGGGAAAGCTCAAATCCGTGTGAGCTATAGTGACTCACACTTGGCAGTAAATGCTAAATCTAGACAATGGGGACTGGACGGGTGCTGAGGAAGTGTCTGGACTGGGGCTTGGGGAAGGCTTTGTGCAGGAGGGCCTCAGAGAACAGGTGGCAGCTGGCAAGCCAAGGAGCAGTTGGCCAGGGTAGGAGGAACTGAAAGGCTGAGGAGCAGAGTAGCAGGAGAGCTCAGCAACTGGGCCCCACCTGGGGCAGAGGCCTGGGTAGACAGGCCATGATGGTGCTCACCCCCTCCCAGGGCGATGTCAGGTACGGGTGCTGCCCCCAGTGCCCACAGAAGGGCTGACACCAGATGACGTTCCAGCGCTGGCTGACAGAGTCCGGCACTCCATGCTCACCATTTTCCGGGAAATCTCCACTGATGGCCGGGGTGGTGGTGACTATCTGAAGAAGCCTGGAGGGATGGGCGAGGCCCCGCTCTGAGCTCCCCTCCCCTTTACCCCTACCTTCCTCCCCATACCTGTCAGCCCCGTGGCCTAAAGCAGGGCCAAGCCCTCTTTCTTGTTTCCCCTCTCTCCACTTGTTCTCCTCTTTGGAATCTTCAATTTCTGAAGTGAATGTGGAAACAGCACCGCTCCCTGCCCCTGCCCAGTTCCCCCAGCGGACTCTCTTGCCTCGGTGCAGTCTCCACTCTGACCTTCACCTCCTGTGCCATCTTCTCTGTGGAACAGTTGCCTCCCCTTCATCTCTAGTGGCTCAGCCTACACGAGGGTGGGAACACTTCATTCTGTCCCCAATGGACCCTCTTCCTTTGTGGTCTTCTCTCCTTCTCTACCCCACATTGGCCAGTGGACTCATCCATTCTGTGGAACAGTCTCCCCTCCTCCTCCCCCCAAGTCCATGGATTCAGTGGACTCATCCGTTTGTGAGGAGGACTCTTCATGCTGTGGCTGGAAGCTGATGCCTGGAACATTCCTCCCAGGCTCATCCTCAGCACCTTCACCCTCCTTCCCGTGGAGCCTCCTGTCAGTGGAGGCTGGACTCTTCTCACTCAGAGGTCTCATTCCTGCCCATGCCCAGGTCCAGGGTTGAGCACACCCCTGGATGCCAGTTTGGTCCACATTTCTGCTTTCTCCTGTACCCGTGGTACACTTCTTCAGTGGTCCTGGCCCCACCCAGCTCCCTGCAGCCCTGCTGTACCATTCTAAACAGACACAAGGGGAAGAGGCAGACATCAGGTGCTGCACTCACTTCTGCTCCCTGGGGAGTTGGGAAAAGGAACTGAACCCTGGCTGGAGGGGATGGGAGGGCTCTTAATTTATTTCTCTTTCTTTTGAGGCTTCCCCTCTCTGAGCCAGTTTTCATTTCCTCCCTGTGGCATTAGCCACTCCCTGCCTCCCACCCCAGACCTATGCCCACAACCAGGGAGGTGGGCTGGGAGCAAAAGGAGAGGGTGGGACCCAGTTTTGCGTGGTTGGTTTTTATTAATTATCTGGATAACAGCAAGAAACCAAGAATAAAGATTGAAAGAGAGATCTGGGCACTTTCTGGCTGCATTTGTTAAGGAGTTGAAGAAGCAGTTCTGGCCCAGGCACTGTGCCCCAGCCAGAAGACTCAGGGATAGGCCAAGACAACCATCCTTCCCCCTTTCTTCAGCTCTCTGACGTTTCCGTTGCTCGTTACTCCTTAGTGACAGATAACCTTATCTGCAGCTCCCACGGTGGCCAATCCCAGAGGATTAGTGGGTCCAGTTTTCTGTATAAATTAGGGGGTTAGGGCTCTGCAGAGGTTCCTTATCTCCGCCGATTGAGGCCTGGGCCCAGACTGTTGTCCTCACAGGAGCCTGGTTAATGACAAGGAGATAGGCAGACACGTTGGCAGTGGACCTCCGGGGCTGTCTCCAGCCCAGAGTGGACGGTGGGCACTTGGAGAGACTGACGCTCTCACCCAACAATAAATGGAACCACGGGGCTGGAGACAAGATACCAGAAAGGGTGGTGAAGTGCGGGCATCTGGGGAAGGTATGGGGAGAGTGAGTGTTGGGGGAAGGGTTTCAGGAAAAGAGAGAAAACTAAATTGGGGAAATATGTCAGGAAAAGCTGGGGGCAGTTGTCGGGGGATGGGGGTCCTAGCAGAGAGGGGCATGAGGACTCACAGGTGCCTAGCCTCTCCTCCAGCAGCAGCACCTGGTCACTGAGAGACTCGATCCTGTCGCCCCGGCCCCACAGCTCTGCCACCTGTTCGGGCTGTAGTTCTTCAGGTGGCATGGGCAGCACCGCTCGGACCCAGGCCCCTGCCTGTCCAGCCCACTACAAGGAAAGAAGCCTCAGGGTGTTGGGGAATGGGGCGCACCCTGCCCTGCAGGCTTGGCCACAGGCACCTCCACGTACCTGTTCCAGCCGCTCCAGGCGTCCTCGCAGCTCGCGAATCTCCCGCCTCAGGGCGCGCTCATCATGTTCCACTTCCCGAACTGGTACAAAGGAAAGCATGACCACAGCCAGGGGCCCTGCTGCTGGCCCTAGGCCTTCCCTGCTGCCCATACTCCCGCCTGCTCACCCGCCACGCTGAGGATACTGGCACCGGTTGGGGGCTCTGAAGACCCCTCTGCACAGGTGCGCCCATCAGGGCCCAGCACCAAGCCATGGGGACAGCCACAGGTGAAGCTGCCTGCCGTGTTGAGGCAACGGTGGGAGCAGAGGGTGACGCCAGTCCTACATTCATCCACATCTAGTTACCGGAAAGACGAGGGGGCTGAGGGGATGGGGCCGGGGCAAGCGCCCCGGTGGACAGGGAGCTCCCCGCACCACCCCTGGGGGAGGGCTAGCCAACTCACCCACGTGACAGTGCTTCCCACCCCAGCCAGGGGCACACTCGCACTGGTCTGGCCGAACGCAAACGCCTCCATTCAGGCAGGGCTTGGCGCAGATGGCTGTAGGCCAGGAAGAGGGTTCAGAATGGGACCACAGCCCAGCTCCCCAGCCCCGCTGGGCTCGCCTCACCCAAGGCCTGGGAAGACCCAGCCTCACCTTCATCACAGGTGAGTGCTCCCGGATGCCGCTTTTTCCAGCCCTGGCAGCACACAGCATGGATCTGCTGCACCTCCCTCCTCACCTCGCGCCACGCCACGTGGTAAGTGGTCCTGGAACACAGCACCTGGCTCTGGACACTGGCAAATGGGACCTGGTCGGGGTTCTTGGGGTTCCTCTTGAGGGACCTTGGAGACTAGGCTTCCCATCTCTCACCTGTAGGTGCTGCAGATGCGCCTTCCAGCACACAGAGTCAGGTAGGGCTTATACACTGGTTTGCTGTAGGACTCGTTGTAACGGAGCGGGACCACCAGCGTCTGCTTGGAGCAGACTCCCTGACTGCACCCATGCGGGAGAAGGTGGGAGACACTGAGTAGGCCAGGCCCTGGGGAGCCAGAAGTCCCACTTCCCTCAAGGCTCCACTGAGCCCCCCGCCCCCTCGAAGTGACAGCTTCACCCCCATTCTAAACTTTTAACTTTGTTTTGCCACCCGTGAAGCCCCCCAGCAGGTTTCCTGAAGACCTCATCCCTGGCCCTGCCCCATCTGTTGTCACCTCTCTTTGAAGGATTCACCCTTGGCCCCCTTGCCAGACATCAGTAGCAGAAGGAATGAGAGTCCGCCTAAGCGAGTGCACAGCTCGGCCCTGGACCTCATGATTCTCCTTGACTCCAGACTCTGTCGGCTGCAGGCAAGAAGAGGTTAATGGAGGCTCTTCCCCTCTCCTATTAACTTCTCTAGCTCCAGCCCTCCAAGAGCAGTCTGCTGGTGCCCTCTAAGGGGGAGCAGGACGTTCATTTGTACACACTTGCAGTAGCCACCAGGATTGTATGCACCTGTGTGTACATTTAACCAACACCACCCCTTCCTTCAGCACATCATGGTCCATGCAGCATCATACAAGCCCATACCCTGACACCTTCCCCCCACCTCCCCTCCAACCTATCTATATGTAATCCTCTCTACACATACACAGTAAACTCTCCCCTCATGACCCTCCTATCTCTCACATGCCCTCTTCATAATCTTCCTACCTCAAAACCTCAGATAGTCACCATATACCCCCCCACACCTTGCACACAAACTCACGTGCCTGGAAACTCCACACCTTAAACATATTCCTACTACCCTCATGCCCACACCACCACTCACATCCCGGAACCACGCCCTCACTGAGACAACACCCCCCTACTCACATTCCCTCCAAGGCTGAGTGACCCCCACTCTTTCCCCATTGACATTCTCTCCCCACCTCTTTCCCTCTCTCCCGGAGACTTCAGGCAGACCAGCCTCAGCAGCAGCAGCTCAGACTGGTGGGCGGGCTGGGCAGGCTGCAAGGGAGAGGAGGGGCTGGGCCAGACAGAGTCCTCCCATTCCTGCCCCCTCCCACAAGCCTCTTCCAGAGCTCCAGCTTGGTCAGCTCAGTGGGTCTAAGTCCCACTACCCTCACCCCCACCCCAGCAAAGGGCCCCCTAGAAGTATCTTCCCAACCCACTGGGGCCCCTTATTTCCGGACCCCCCAAATCAGCAGAGGCCACTGGCTCTATAACACCACCAGTATCCCTGGCCCTTGCCTCCCACTTCAACCCAACACAGACTGGGGGAGGATTGGGGGGCAAGGAGAGAGACAGAGCTGGCAGAGAACAAAGCAGGGTCAGGTCATGGGAGAAGAAGCAAGATCAGCTGAGGAAAGAAAGAAGGGCAAGTCGTCACAAAGGGGCAGGAGGGCAGCTGAGGGCACTAGGGGAAAATTGCCCCCATTTCTCGATGACATTTGTTAGAGCCTGGGGGGAGCAGAGTTGAGTCAGCTACCGCCCCCCCATGTCAGAGCAGACAGGGCCCTATTGTCTCCACCAAAATTCCTTCTTTCAAGGAAGAGGCAGCTCATTGTCCAGCCCCTCACCCAGCTCTGGCCTACAAAGGTCAAAAAGGGGCACAACAAATGCCCACCCTGACCCTTAGCCCCCTCGTCTAGCCTTAGGGTGGCGGGCGCATTCCACTCATGAGGCTGGGGCACACACCAAGGGAGCCCTGGGCTCAGCCCCCCAATCTTACGCTGGGACAGGAAGAGAATTGTCCTCAGCAGGAAAGAACCCGCAGAGAATCAGGAACCCACACAGAATGGGCATTGAGAGAACGGAAACACCAAGGGGGTCCCACCCCATACCAAGCATCCGGGTACCCAGGCCTCAGGCTCTCCAACCCCACCCTCCTTGGGGAGCCAGGTCCCCCTCACCTGGAAATGAGCCAAGCCACACTGAGGAAATGGAACTTTATTTCCATAAATACAGGGGTAACACCCATTCAAGGGTAGATAAAAGAGGGGCTGGGGCCTCAAAGAAACTAGGCTCCCAGGGGTACCCCAACACTGAACATAGGGACTGGGGGATCCCCAAACCTGAGATGGGCCTCGCAGGCCACAGATATTCCCCAACACTGACACTTCAAGAACGGAACTGTCCCCATAGGGGAGCCTCAGAACCCCACTCTCATGGGCAGTCTCTTCCTGGGGGTTGGGAGCACTGACGACAGCGAGTTCAGAGGAAAAGGGAACATAGGAGACCAGAAGCTAAAAATGTCCTGAGTGGCCTGGAAGGAGACCCCTGTGGTGGGCAGGGGCTGGGTTCTCCTCCTGTAGGGCCAGAGACAGAGGAGCAGCAGCAGCAGGAGCAGCCACAAGTTAAAACCTGGTTTCTCACTTCCCAACCGAGGCCTTGGGAAAATGGGAGAGCATGGAGCAACCCCCCAGTGAGAGAACATGAGGTGGGGAAGACCAGGATTTGTCATTCATGGAGGAGCAGAGGAGGCAGGTCTTGGGAGCCCTGGTTGGTAAGGGCAGTGTGGGAGCAATGAGGTGGTCACAGGCACACCAGAGCCTGACATCTGCTTTCCAAGGCCACCACTTGGTGTCTGGGCCAGGGAGATCCTGGTGGATCCCTGGGGACGTCCTCAGGAGAGCCAAGGTTCAATACATGTCTCATAAAGGGTGCGGTTGGAGTGCCAGGCCGTGTGGGAGATCCCAGCCATCGGACACCTCACAATGGCCCCCCGCGCCAAGAGAGTCTTCAACCCAAAAGAATCTCGCAGATAAACCTTGGAGGTGGGCAAAGGGGCATGGAAGAAAGACACAGGGAGAGACAAAGTGAGTTACTGCTGGTGCCCCGGGCCTCCTCCCCACAGTGTAAACCTTTAAGTTCAAGGGTCATTGGCAGGGAGGGCTATAGACTGAGGTGGGACGGTGCATGAAGACAGGGGAAGTAATCTCAGGGGGCTCACCAGTTGTTCCTCCATCTCCAAGACTGTCTCATTTGCATCATAGAAACCAAAGAAGCTACAAAGAGATTGGAGGCGTGGGGCAGGTTATCAGGGGAGCTGAAGAAAATCAAGGTAGCCTAGGGTCAAGAACTCATGGCCTGTTGGGGAGACAGGCAGCAGGCAAGACACTCAAAATATTTAACTGGGTATCATGTACCTCATGAGGTGATGCACTGAGGACATGGCACCACTTCTGTAGAATTCCCATCAAAAATGCATAACCTGGGCCGGCCCCATGGCTTAGCGGTTAAGTGCGCGCGCTCTGCTACTGGAGACCCGGGTTCGGATCCCAGGCGCGCACCGACGCACCGCTTCTCCGGCCATGCTGAGGCCACGTCCCACATACAGCAACTAGAAGGATGTGCAACTATGACATACAACTATCTACTGGGGCTTTGGGGAAAAAAAAGGAGGATTGGCAATAGATGTTAGCTCAGAGCCGGTCGTCTTCAGCAAAAAGAGGAGGATTAACACGGATGTTAGCTCAGGGCTGATCTTCCTCACACACACAAAAAAAATGCATAACCTGAATCTAATCACAAGGAAACAGCCAACAAACCCAAACTGAGGGACATTCTACAAAACAGCTGGCCCATACACTTCAAAAATATCAATGTCATGGACAAAGACTGAGGAAGTGTTCCAGATGAAGAGACTAAAGAGTCATGACAACTAAATGCCACACGTGATTCTGAGTTGGCTCTTGCACTGGATTTTTTTTTCTATAAACACAACTGGAAAAATTTGAGGTCTACAGAATACCATATCAGTGTTAATTTCCTGATTTTGATAATTATACTGTGGATCTGTAAAAGAATGTCCTGTATATAGGAAATATACATGCTGAAGTTTTAGGGTTAAAGAGACATGTTTGTAACCTACTCTCAAATGTTTCACACACACACTAAATACATAGAGAGAGGATGCTAATGTAAACATGGTAAAATGTTAACACTTGGGGAATCTAGGTGAAGAGTATACAAGATTGCTTTGTACTACTTTGGTGACTTCTTAAGTATGAAATTATTTCTAAATGAAAAGGCCTTAAAAATTTTTTAATTAAGAATATTTAACTGGCATGGGCTCAGAGTGGATGCTGACTGTGAATAACTGAACAAATGCTAATAGTATTGAGTCCAGTGGGCTATGGGAGCAGAGAGGCCTCTGCCCTAGTTTTAGAGCATCAATAAAGGCTTCCCAGCAATGACCCGGGATGAGGGAAGGCTGTCCCAGGCAAATGGAACAGCAAGAACAAAGGCAGAGGTGAGGCACGACTGGGTACATGGGGGAGCTGGGTTGGAGGCCTGGATGCCATGTCGAGGGGCTGAATTTCATTAGGTGTAGGAAGCAGTAGGGGCACAGAGACCTGGATTTGAACTCCAGCTCTGCCACGCACTCTCCCCACTGTGTGCATTTGAGCGTGTTACATATCCTCTTTGTCCTATATAAGAATACCTCCTTTGTAGAAAGGAAGTAAAATATTGTGGTTAAGTCAGATAGCCTGATGACCACTTACTAACTCTATGAATGTAGGTAAGTTATTTAATCTCTTTGCACCTAACTTTCCTTATATGTCAAATGAGGATAATCGTAATTACCCAATAGGGTTGTTGTGAGGATTAAAGGAGCTCTACTTGAAAAATACATAGAATAGTGCCTTGGTACATAAAAAGTGCTATGTAACCGTGAGCTATTACTATCTTCACAGGGTTGTTGTAGATGTGAAATGAGATAATATAAATCAATCCCATCCCTTACTGTATAAGGGGCGTTTACTCCTTCACTCAAAACTGTCTAATGCCTTCCCATCTCGCTCAGAATAAAGAATCAAGGGCCGTGGTTGCCAGGGGCGGGTGGAGGCAGGGATGACAAGTTATTGTTTAATGGGTGTGGAGTTTCAGTTTGGGAAGAAAAAAAAAGTTCTGGAGATGGATGGTGGTGATGGTTACACAACAATGTGAATGTACTTAATGCCACTGAACTGTACACCTAAAAATGGTAAATTTTACATTATATATATTTTAGAAAAAAAAGAAAATCAAGGGCCTTACTTTGCCCTACAAAGGTTCAACGTGACTGCCTCCCTGCTACCTCTTTCACCTCCTCTCCTACCTGCTCCCCACCTCCCTGTGCTTTAGCCACACTGGCCTCCTTATTACTCATACCTGACCCAGGGCCTTTGCAGGTGCTACTCGTTCTCCCTGGGTTGTTCTTCCCCCAGATTGTTGCACAACTCCTTCCCTCACTTCCTTCAGTCTCTGCTCAAATGCCAACTCTTCCAGGACGACTTCTCTGGCCACTATCTAAAAGAGGCTCCAGTCATCCTCTAATCCCTTCCCTGCCTTATTTTATCACCACCTGACATATATATTTACATTTATTATCTGTCTTCCCTACTAGAATATAAGCTACATAACAGCAGGGACTATTCTTTCATTTATCGCTGCATCCCCAGGGCCCAGAACGGTGCCTGGGCACACAATGCTCAATGAGTATTTGTGGAGTGACTAAAGTAGATCAGGTGACATTTCAGATCACTCACGATGATCTGTAACAGAGGCAAGCACATAGTGCCTTGGAGCCATGGATTTTCCTGAGGAATAGGATGGAGGGGATGAGGCTGGAGGCTATTACAATAGTGCAGGTAAGTAAATGAGGTGGTAGGAAATGTAGTACGATGGCATGAAACTATACACACATATCATACCAATATCAATTTCCTGGTTTTGCTATAGGTACATAGGATGTAACCACTGGGGGAAACTGGGCGCAGGATACACAGTTGCAAACTATCTTTGCAACTTCCTATGCATCTCTAATTATTTCAAAGTTAAAGCTTTTACAGAACAGAGGTGGTAGGGATGGAGAGGAAGCAGAGTCAGCAGGACCTAGTGAGTTCTAGAGACAAGGGGTTGGGGATGACTCCCAGGTTTTGGTCTCGGGTGACAGGATAAATGGAGGGTGGGGGACATTAACTGAACAGTGGGAGGAGCAGGCCAGTTTTAGGCACGAGATGAAGATTGGTGGGGGTTAGGGGGTACTCTAAGCCAAGCAGTCCCTTATTACCTGGATTGCCAAGGGGTAATAACACCATCATCAGGGCCCCCAATCAGCACCAGGCGGCCCACACGAAGAAAGTTCTTCCGCCATGCTGCAGGTTGGGAAGAAGAGAGCCTGTGTTAGTCACAGGGGTCAGGTCAGGTTGGAGAAGGGAACACAGGGGGTCAGAAAAGCTCAAAAAGAGAGCCTAGGGTCTCACCAGTGGCATTGGGATGGTCTCTTTCCCCATTGATCAGGGCCAGGAAGCTGCTGGCATTGAGGTACAAGTCATCGTGGTGGGGGTCTGGGTACAAACAGCAGTTAGAAAGATAGTCAGGGAAGCAGGGAGAGGAGGCAAGACCAGAGGCTGGAAGACCAATTAGGAGGCTATAGTAACTAACAGACAAGGTGCATAATAATATAATACTAGCAATAATAATAATTGCAAACATGACAGCAAACACCTTTATCTAGCACCAGTATGAGCCAGGTACTGTTCAAAGAACATTACATTCATTCATTTATTTAATCGCACAACCACCCTATAAGGTAAGTACTATATTATTATTTTACAGATGAGGAAAAATGAGTCACAGAAAGGTTGTTACAGCCAAAGTCATCCAACAGGGTCAGACTTCCAGCCCATGTAGTTTGGACTCAGCATCCATGGTCTTAAAAACTGCACTAGGCATCTGCAAACTATGATTCATGGGCCAAATCCAGCCCACTGCTTGCTTCTGTAAATCAAGTTTTATTGGAACAAAGACATTCATTTCCATATGGTGTGTGGCTGCTTTCACACAGTGTAGCAGAATTGAGTAGTTGTGGACAGAGTTTATATGGCCTGCAAAACCAAAAATAGTTACTATCTGGCCCTTTAAGAAAGAGTTTGCCAACTCCTGCCCCAGACTATACTCTCTGAGGCAGTAGGTGATACACATAAAGCATTTTGAACAGTGCCTGTTCACATAGTAAGTGCTCAATCAATGTAAGTTATCATCATTATCACTGCTATTGGTTATGGGAGGGGGGAGCAGCAGGCCCTCCCCTCCAGGGTGCCCTCTTCATGGAGGCCCCAGTTTGGCATCCCCTACTCACCGTGCCAGTAGTTGCAGATGGAGAATTCCTGGCCCCAGGGGCTATAGCAGATCCGGTAGAGGTTTGACCTCATGGAGGTGGGGAACAGCCACTTCAAATAGTCTGTGTCTGGCAAGAGAACAGCAATGCCAAGTGGCCCCAAACCTTTGTGACCCCCAAACTCAGGGCCCCCTATGGAGCCAACAATGCCCACTCACCTCCATACTGCCCCATCTGTGGAGATGAGAGAGAGATGAAAGAATCCACATTGTGCTCATCCATCACAGAGAGCAGTGCCCGGCACACCAGGCCCCCTGTAGGCAGACCACATTGGGCAAGGACTTAGGGACAGCCAGGCCAACAGCCTCCCCACTCCACCCACCACCACCACAATGTACGTAAAGGAGACCGAGGCCCAGAGAACACAGGCTCACCCTGTGGCAAACAGTCCCATGTCATGTAAGTGACAGAGTCAGAATTAGATTCTGGGTCTTCTGACTCTAACTCTAGGGTGCTTTTTACTGCCCCATTATCCCTTATGTCCAAGAACCATGAGTAATGGGGAAAGATGGGGCAGCCGCGCGGAGCCTCCCACCCATTCAGGCACACACAGAGATAAGACCCAGGTGCTGAGGGAAGTCAGAAAAGGAGGGCTCAGGTACCAGGGCTCTGGTTGGAGCAACGTAGTTCAGAAAAAGGGACACTAGGAAGCATCCCTCAGATAAGGATCAAGCCTCAGATAGAGCTTAGGAGTTGTGGGGGAGGGTGCCTACCCTGCGAGTAGCAGATGAGATGCACCCCTTGAGGGGCTTTTGCCATGATGGGGGCCACAGCCTCTCCGAACCCTTGCACCTGTTCCCACAGGGGCCGCAAGCTCTCTCTCCCATCGAAGAGATCGAGCACTGTCACCACAGTCCCGGGGTGTGTCTGTGGGAAGGGGGCAATGCTGCAACAGGGATGGACTACGAAGCCCCTCTACACAACCCCTGGCCAGCGCCCACATGCCTATTGTGCCCCCTAGAACCAGGGATCTCGTCCCCCATTTATCCCCCCCATGCCAGCACCAGCTCCCCGAGGACCTGGGCAAGCCCACAGGGGTGGCTTTCAGTTCCGCATTCTCCCTCCCAGCCACTGTTGAAGCCTCCAACGCCCCACATCCGAGTGTCCCCTGCCAGACCTCGTTGATGTATTCCAGCAGGTGGCGGAAGCTATACGAGCTGTCAAAGAGCCCGTGCACCACAATGACCGGCTTGTAGGAAGCGCGATGGGGCGCAGGGGCTGCGGGCAGCAGCAGCAGCAGCAGCAGGAACAGCAACAGGAGCAGGATCCCCGCCGCGGGGAGCCGCGGCCCCCGGAGCCCCAGCATGCTCCCGCCTGAGAAGGGGGTTGATGAGGGCCTGTGAGAGAGATGACAAAACCCCTTCCCCTCGGAACAGACGCCTGGCAATCAAGCCTCCCCCGCCCGTGCCCACACCGGGTACTTGTCACAAAATAACCTACTTTTAACTTACTCCAGTTCTCTCCCCATAAGCACACGCCCCTACCACGCAGACGCACCTACGTGCACCCGAAGCCCCGCCCCCAATTCAGCATGGACTTGGTCCCTAGGCCCGGGATCTTCCTAAAGCATCATCCTAGCCAAGCACGACCTGGGGTTTTGCCAGAAAGACCCCTGAGCAGCAGCGCAGGCCTCCTGGAGAGTGCAAACTCCCACCTGGCCTGGGTCCGTAAGCCTTGCTCCGTCAGCTGTTTACTTCTCCCTCGTCTGGAACCCACGGGGTGGGGGGAGGGGAAGGGTGTGAGGACAGCGCGCGCAGGGGAATGACGGATGGGAGAGGGGAGGCTGCTCGGGGTCGCGCTTAGCCGTCACGTCCGGGGCTTTCCCTGGCAACCGTGCCTGCGTCCCCTGCAACGCAGGCCCGGGACCGGAGGGGCAATGGAACACTCCACTGCGCCCTAGGAGCGGGGGAGGAGATAGGCGGAGCGATCCATTTAAACCGTGGGGAGAGGAAGAAGCAGCAAACATATCCTAGGAATCGAAAGAAGGCCTCTCCAGGCTCTGCTGCACCAGCGACCCAGGAGTCCGATTTCCCTGCCTTGATTCGCCCAACTACTCAATTCAGGCGTCCGGCTCCGCAGCGGAACACGAAGTTCTGTTTCCCCAGGGGGGCGCTGGCGGATAGACTAGGGAAAGCTATCCTCCGCATTTCGTCGTCCGCGGGAGGAGGGCTGAAACCAGCCCAGGCGGACCCCACCCCCACACCCTGCCCGCCCGGCTGCCCCAGGTCAATACTCTTACAACTCTTCATTCTGAAGTGCGTGTAGTGTCCTTGTCTCTAGAGACGCGGAGAGTCCTCGAGGCTCCTCGAGCTAAAAGTGCAGCCTGGCCCAGTTTCCCCTGCCCTACTCCACTCCGCTCCATAGACGACCCAGCCCCCAGGGGCGCCCCTGGGGCAGCGCTGACTCAACGCTTGCGTGGTTACGACCAGACTTTCAACCTGAGCGACCCCCACCATCCAGCACTTAGCAGGGAGCTCCTTGTGGGCGGCTTCCGACCCAGACCCTCCCACTGGATCCAAACTTCCGAGCTCCAGGCGTCCCTCATTTCTCCGCCTGCAACCCCTATCCGATATCTAGGTGTCCCGGTTAGGGCTTTTACTTAGCATTAAAGACATTTCCCTAGAGAAAAGGATTTCGCAGCTTGTCTGAACGCCGCCCCCCCCCCCGCCCCTGTTCACTAGGTCTTTGCCGGTCAAAGTCTCTCTCAATAAAACCAATTTGCCCCCCGAGTTCTGTAAAGTGAGGATGGGTGGGGGTAGGGGGTTAAAGGCCCACGAGAACGCCTTAGAAACCCGAACGACCGGTACGGGACCGTGATTTAAATCTCTGGGCCTGGCACTGGCCCTGGCGAGGGCCTCTGTACAGCCCAGGCGTCCCCGCATGGACACGGAGGGAAAGGACACAGCCCAGGAGAGCGACTGCCTCAGGTGGGGGCTGAGAAGTACTAGTCTAAAGGTGGGAGTGAGAGTGGGAAATAATTCCCCGGCTGTGGTTTTGCAAAAAGCCCAACTCTGTAAGTTGTAACTCTCGGTAGACTGCCTCTCTTCACCTCCCCTCCCCATCTACGCGCTCCCAAGATGTAATAAGCAAATAAAGACTGCAATTACCGCTGAGTCCAAAGGCCGACTCTGGAGGTGGCGCTGCGTCTCGGCGGGAGTGGTGGGTGGGTGGGATTTAAGGAATGGATCTGAACACTGACGGGCCCGGGAACTCTAAGAAGCCCAATAAAAGCTAACAGGGAAAGAGGGACCAAGCAAGTATTCCCAAACCCAGCTGCCTGAAATGAGCTGTTGATTCATTCCCTCCTTCTCCCAAAGCTCTTCAGCTCCTTCACCCTGGAGCTCTTCACTTCTCTCCGTCCTCCCCCCCCGCCCCCCACCTCCGGAGACCCGACTACCTCCAAACTACTGTAGACCGGAGCTTTCCACTATACCTCCCGATTCACCCCAGGCCAGGGGGGCAGGTGAGGCCATAACCCCGGGAACTTTTCAGGCCATCGCAGGTCTCAACTCTGCACACCGTTCTCTTTCATACAGAGTTATCCCTCCTAAAGTGGGGGAAACTAGGGCCAAAGATTTGGGAGAAGATCCTGGGACCTTACAGGGACTCTGAGGGAAGCTGAGGAGAGAGAGACCTGACTAGGGTGAAGCGGCTCCGGAGGGAACTGGGGTATTGAATATATATCCCATAATATCATCACTAGAGCCAGTCTAGGAGGGGAAGACTCTAGAGAGTTCTCTCTCCCTCCTTCCTTCCCTTAGTCGTCCCCCCCCACCCCGCCCCCGCCTTGCCTGGTCTTGCTTGCCTCCCTGTTTCCATGACAACTCCAAGGGAGCCCAAACTGGGGGCTTGAATGCCGGGGTGAGAGGAGGAGAGACCTAGTGGGGGTACGTCTGAAGCGCTCCCCCTCCCTTGCCTCGGTCCCTTTAAGCTCCCCCCCTCCCTGCTGTCCCTCCGCCCCCCGCTGCTGTCTTCATCTCTCCATCTCTGCGCTGCTGCCGGCTGCGCAATCCGCGCACCCAGACTCCGGGGCCAGCCGGGGACCCCGACTCCGGCTGCAGGGACCCTGTTCCAGCGAGACCGCAGGCATGTCATCCGAAAAGTCAGGTAAAAAATAACAACAAAACCTCCCTCCCTCTCCACCGTCTCCTGACTCTCCCCCATCCTTACCTCCCAGCCCCCTCCCTTACCCTTCGCAATTGGATGGTTCTGTTTTCTTCCCTTTCTATCCATCTCTCAACCCACCCCCCCCATCCCTCTCCTCTCTCTATAAGCCTCTCTTCTCTTCCTTTCCTCCTTCCAGTCTCAGCCTCGGCCCTTTGCCAACAACAGGGGCAGGGGGCAGGTTGAGAGGGTGAGGGAAGTGCAATGGTAGGGTAGGTTCAGCCAGGTACTGCAAGGATAGCATCACTGGGAGTGACAGATAGACATGACATTGGCTTGCATGGAGACATACCATGGGGAAATATGGAGCCATGATCAGATGGGGGTTGTCAGGGGAGTAAAATCCAGAGGACCCTTCTTTATCAGCCCTAAAAGAGGTACTGAGATTCCCAGAGAGGCTAGGGCACCCCCTCCCCACTGAAGGAACCGCAGAGTGGAACATGTCATCCTACATATGTTTATACAACTGTTGAACTGAGCACATGTTAACACAGTGTTGCCTGTGTACACATGTGCATACACAGGACTAGCTCAGACAGGCAAGTCCAAAGGCAGCCAAAAACCAAGGGGATAGGAGATTGGGTCTGCAGGTGAAAGCTGTGTGCACCTTGCTGAAGAAGGGAGAGGAGCAAAGGAGAGTTGTGACCTCAAAACTAGATTGAAAGGAAGAAGGGGGGGCAGATGGCCTAGATACAACCCTCTCCTGCCCCAAGAATGAGAGATGATTTCTCACCCATTTCCTCTGTGTGTCTCTCACTGTCTTTCTCCATCCCTGACCCTCTGTGTCACCCCCTACCCTTCCTTATTTCATTTCTGTCTGTCTTTTCTCCCCATACCCTCTCCTCTGCTCACCGCCTCCAGGCCTTCCTGACTCAGTCCCTCACACCTCTCCACCACCCTACAATGCCCCCCAGCCCCCGGCCGAACCCCCTGCCCCGCCCCCACAGGCAGCCCCCTCCTCGCACCATCACCACCACCACCACTACCACCAGTCCGGCACCGCTACCCTCCCGCGCTTAGGCGCAGGCGGCCTGGCTTCTTCCGCGGCCACCGCTCAGCGCGGTCCCTCATCCTCGGCCACACTGCCGCGGCCCCCGCACCATGCCCCGCCTGGCCCGGCCGCCGGGGCGCCCCCGCCCGGCTGCGCTACCTTGCCCCGCATGCCACCCGACCCTTACCTGCAGGAGACTCGCTTCGAAGGCCCACTGCCCCCGCCGCCGCCTGCCGCCGCAGCCCCGCCGCCGCCGGCGCCCTCTCATACTGCCCAGGCCCCAGGATTCGTGGTGCCCACGCATACGGGGGCGGTAGGCACGCTACCACTGGGGGGCTACGTAGCCCCCGGCTACCCCTTACAGCTGCAGCCTTGCACTGCCTACGTGCCGGTCTACCCGGTGGGCACGGTGAGTACGGAGCAGACAGGGGCCTGGGAGGAGGAGGGTGGGGGCACAACGGAACAGGACCTGGAATTGGGAACACACTGGGGTCTGGTGGGATAGAGAAACAGGGCCAGGGGACCAGGCAGTGTTCCTGGGCCAAAGCCTAGAGAGAGGAGGGCCTAACAAAAGACTTGGGAATGGAGGGGTGGGGGGTTCTGGTGGTCAGTTGGGGTCAGAGATCAGGGCCTGGGAAAGGGAACTTAGCCTAGATGTCCCGAGGTTTGAAAGAAGGAAACAGTCTGGAGGAAGGGGGAGACATGAAACCTAGGAACCAAGGAGGAGGAGGGAGAAGAAACATGGGACTGAGTGAGTAGGAGAGGCCGGGTAGGTATCTGCAGAGAAGAGAGGTCTGAAGTGAGGCCAGGGCAGTGCTGGTGGGGCCATACCTTGGGGGAGGGAGTGTGGAGATCCCCAAGAATATAGGGTTAGTGACAGCAATGAAGGGAGGAGAGGGACCTAGTTGGAATTTATGGGTGTCCTGGAAGGGTGGTGGATGATCAGCTTCTTTGAGAAGCAAGGCGCAAGATTTATGCTTTTAAAAATCTCTCTGCCATATGCGGAATGGTGGTGGGCTTGGAGAGTTTCAGAGTGACATCCTCTCCCCCCAACCTTCCTTCCACAGCCCTATGCAGGCGGGACCCCAGGGGGAACGGGAGTAACCTCCACGCTCCCCCCGCCGCCCCAAGGCCCAGGGCTGGCCCTGCTGGAGCCAAGGCGCCCGCCGCACGACTACATGCCCATCGCGGTGCTGACCACCATCTGCTGCTTCTGGCCTACGGGCATCATCGCCATCTTCAAGGCAGTGCAGGTGGGGAGGGGGGAAGGGGCGGCATATGGGGAGGAGGGCTCGCTCGATTTTTCTTATTCCCAGGGAGTGCTGGGCGTCCTGGGGAGCATCTTAGAGGGAGGCTGAGGCCTGCGGGTGAGGCAGCAGTTCTCTGGTCTGCTTTCTCCCACCCCTGCCCCCTGCCCCGCAGGTGCGCACAGCCTTGGCCCGTGGAGACATGGTGTCGGCCGAAATCGCTTCACGTGAGGCCCGGAACTTCTCCTTCATCTCCCTGGCAGTGGGCATCGCAGCCATGGTGCTCTGTACCATCCTCACCGTAGTCATCATCATTGCCGCTCAGCACCACGAGAACTACTGGGATCCGTAAGGACCCCCCTGGCCCGGCCCCACCCTGCGCCCCTTGACCTCCCAAGTGCATTCTGCAATCACGCCCTGGATCCAATGGGCGCCTTGCACACCCGCATCTGGGGCCACCGAACTTCGATAAATCCTACACTCGGCCTCCATGGAACCTCTCGCCTTGCGAGCACGATCCGAATCCAGTTCCTCAGGAACGCCGAAAAAGTCCGCACCCCCAGGGACGCCGCTTCCCGGGATCCCTGCCAAACGCCAGGCCCTCAGTCGCTCCAGGCCCCCACCCTCTCTAAATGCAGCACCCCCAGTCGAGCTCCGTGGGTCTCTGCTCCCCAGCCTGGAGACTGGTCCCTAAAGCCACACCTCCTCTGTAGGCTCCGCCCCGGCTCTGACAAAACCCCGCCTCCAGGTCGGCAGGCTCCGCCTTCTTTTCTTCCCCGCGGGGTGATTCAGTCCGGTGATTGGGTTTGTGGCGCCAAGCCTCGCCCCGAGGCCGACAGATTTCTCCCCTTCCCCCGGCGCGGGGGCCGAGCCCCAGGGTAGCCACGCCCCCGCGCTCACTCCCGTTTTTGCTAGTACAGTTTCGTCTGTCCTCCCCCAGGGTCTCCGCCTATTTTCTCGCTAATCCCAGAACCTCTATCTACTTTTGTGCTTTTTGGAATGAGATTTGGAAGGTTCCCAGTTTAGTACCCTTCACCGTGGGATGAAGATTACGTTCCCGTTCTCTGTAAATATTCCCACCTATCCCAATCCCTGGGCAGCCGGGCAGAAGGGAACCCAGGGTACAGACCTCCCAATGTCGGGAGGGAGCCGGCCCGCTCCCCACGCCCTTTGGCAGTCCCCACCTTGTTCTGATCTGTGTGTGAGTGTGTGTGAATTTCTGAAAGACAATATTAAAGAGACTACGTGGATTTATCACCCGCAATTCCAAAGTCTGCAGCCTTGCAAAGACCCTGCTCTTCTGGTTCCCTCTTTCATCTCCCCTCATCACCCCTTGCAGGGGAAAAAAAAAAAAACTGACAGAGACAAAAGTGGGAGGAGACAGATTCCCAGGACACCAGAAAGAGAGACACAAATTCAGGGGGTAGGGAGGGGTAGGCCTGGGAATCCTACTGGGGAAGACCTTGCAGTCCCTTCTCAGTGGGGATTTCTTTCCCCAGCACACCTTTTCCACTCCCTACCAGACTGGGTTTAGGGCTTTGGAGAGGGAGGATTTACAAGGAGATCTAGGGTTCTATCCCCGGAATTCCAGGAAGTTAGGAGGAAAGAGGAGGGCAGACCATTCTGAAGAAGTCGGTCAGGGATAGGGTGGCAAGGGCAGGGAAAAGATGCCAACTGCCCACACCTGTTCATGCCTGCGGGCAGAGGGTGGCAGACAACTTGGATTAGAGCCCTACCCGATGTGTTGTTCCAGTACTGCATAGAGAACACAAAGGGGGTAGAGAGCTGTGGGAAGCTGTCTCAGTCCATTCTGGCTGCTATAACAAAAATACCTTCAACTGAGTGGCTTATAAAGAACAGAAATTTTTTTCTCACAGTTCTGCAGGCTGGAAGTCTGAGATCAGGGTGCCAGCATGGTCAGGTGAGAGCCCTCTTCTGGGTTGCAGACTTCTCATTGTGTCCTCACATGGTGGAAGGGGCTAGGGAACTCTGTGGGGGTCTCTTTTATAAGAATATTAATCCTATTCATGAGGGCTCTACTCTCGTGACCTAAGCATCTCTCAAAGACCCCACCTCCTAATAACACCAAATTGCGTTAGGATTTCAACATATGGATTTGGGGGGGAACACAAACCTTCAGACTACAGCTGAGCCCCAAGGAGGAGGTCAATAGCCTCTCAAGTCCACCTGGGGTAGTTGCCCTTGCCTACCCTGAGGTCAACAAGGAGGCCTTTGGGGGGAGGGTCAGCGTGTCACAGCAGTGGACTTGGTATCCTCAGTTTTGTACACCTGCAGGACAGGGTCCTATCCTGAATTTTTGCATTCATACAACATGCAGACACCATGCAGGATGCCCGTGAGAAATCTTCCAAGACAGCAGATGTAAACACTGAAACTCATGGAGTTTATAATCTAGAAGGAAAGCCATGCACTGAGATAGGAGACATGAGATGGGCTATGGAAATCAAGGGTTCTTCTGACAGTTCAGGTTTAATGTGCCTTCCTCACCAGACTTCTTGAAAAAAGAACTCAGATTTGCAGCTTCCACTTCCTCACCACCTACTCATTTTTTTCCCCTTTAAATAGGGAGTATTGTTGTCAGAGATGTGTCTGTGTCTTCCTTTCATACCCACTGTTTCTTAACCCTTTGAAATATGTTTCCATTCCCTATTCTGCTGAAACTGCTCTCTCAAATAGTACCCATGACCAGAAGTTACCAGGAGCCAAAATCAAAGGCATTTTCAGAGTACTCTGCCTCTCTGAACACTCCCATGTTTATCCCTTGACCCTGGATTCCCCACTCCCCCAGGTTCAGGGACATATTATCTCCCCTGGCCCACCTCCACATACACCTCCAATCATCCCTTCTCCCCACCTCTTCCCCTTGTTTTTTCTCCTCCCTTCCCGTATGTGTTTATCTCTGGATTTTTTCCTTCTCTGAGACTTTCCCTTGAAAATCTCATCCACTCCAAACTCAGATATCATTTTTAACCAAATGCTTCTCTGCTATAGACTGAATGTTTATGTTCCCCCCAAATTCATATGTTGAAACCTAATCCCCAGTGTGATGGTGGGGCCTTTGGGAAGTGATTAGGTCATGAGGGTGGACCCTCATGAATGGGATTAGTGCCTTTATAAAAGAAACCCCAGAGAGCTTCCTTGCCTCTTCCACCATGTGAGGACATAGCTAGAAGACGGCCATCTATAAACCAGAGGGCACTCTCACCAGACATTGAATCTGCCGGCGCTTTGATCATGGACTTCCCAGCCTCCAGAACTGTAAGAAATAAATATCTGTTGTTTATATGCCACCCAGTTTATGATATTCTGTTGCAGCAGCCCAAGTTGACTAAGACATTCTCCAACCAATACGTTTATATGCAGACATCCTTCTGGTGCCTGTGGAACACGGCCACATGGAACCTGCTGCTGGTCCTCTCAACTCAGCATGTTCCAAACCAAACTGATGACATGCCACCAAAAACCTGCTTCCCTATCTCTGTTAATGGCAACATTTTCCCAGCACCTCTATTTGAAAACTTGATGCCTCTTCCCTCTCCCTCCTGCCTTTACTTTTGGTGCGCTGTCAAACCAAGTCAGTTCTACCATCACAATATCTTTTGAATATGTAACTTTTCTCCAGCCCTTGCCAGAAAAAATGACCAATTTAGGATTATTGCAACAGCTCCACTAACAGGTCTCCCTCCTTCCTACCTCTCTCTCTACTCCAAGTCTCCCTTGACACTACTGTCAGGTTATCCTCACTAAACACACTTCATATAACTCCACTACTCAAAAGCCCTTCCAGATTCCCTATTGCTTACTCAATTATTTACAAAATTTTAATCTGGCCTTCAACCCCTTCCACAATTTAAAATCATCCGGCTTTCTCTCTTCAACCTAATCTCCAACCAAACTGAATTACTCATCATTCCCACCTCCTGTCTTTGCCCAGCTGTTCTCAAATCTTAGACTTTTTCTCCAATCTTTGCCTATTATGAACCAAATGGTCTGCTGCTTGTCAGGTGTTTCAGGCCACATCTAAGCTTTTGCTCACAGTGTTCTTTCCTCCTTCACATCTGCTTCTCCACTTGGCCAAAATTTATCTATCCTTCAAGGCCCAGATCAATTCATCCCCTCACTCCAGCAAAAAGGAATCTCTCTCTCCTACAGGTTGGATTAAAGCAGTGGGTTTCTAAACAGACCTCCAGGCATTGCTTGGAGCAATGATTCTTATCCCTGGCTATACATTACAGTCATCTGGGAGCATTTAAAACTCCCAAAGTTCAGATCGAATCCTAGACCAATTAAATCACAATCTCTGGGGGTGAGACTCAGGCACCAATATTTTTTAAGACATCCCCAAGTGGTTCCAAAGGGCAGCCAAGGTTAAGAATTACAGGTTTAGGGCCAGCCTGTGGCTTAGCGGTTAAGTGCACATGCTCTGCTACTGGCGGCCCGGGTTCGGATCCTGGGCACGCACCGACGCACCGCTTCTCCGGCCATGCTGAGGCCGCGTCCCACATACAGC